ATATGTAGCAACATTACTTCAAATCCTTTCATTACTTCCTTTATTTGGCTAATTTACTAAAATTATCGTCAATCACATAATTTTACAATTTTATAACTCATGAACTAAAAAACGAGAGAACTAGTGATAATTTCCCCTGTAAGCTGTCCAAGAAATTTTTATTACAATTTTTGTATTGTTCTAGTTTTTATCAAGTAACTTTATTTAGAATCTTTAAATTCTCATGTGATGTCGCGATACTTTTGCAGAAAACTTCTCCAATTATTACAATGTTTTCGAATTTCAGTCTAAAAATAGTGAAATAGGAGATTCAATCGCTTCAAGTATAAATTCACTCCTTTTGTTACTAACAGCTAAATTAAGTTGGTTTTCGAATAGCTGCTGTTTTTTGTTTGTTTTGTTTTTTATTTCAATCACGTATAACTTTCAATCTATGAAACTAATTTTTTACTGAATGGGGAATATTGAATTGACATAGAGTATTACTACAGCCAATTGGCTAAATCAAAGCTATTTAAATTGATTCTGGATATATTTCAGGTATTTTATTCCTTCTGGCAGCGGTTTTTAGATTGATCTCAAGCAACTGGAGAAGTCCAACGAAAGACTTTATTGACAGGGTAGTATCCAATGAGAATCTGAAGGACCAATCATTTGATATGTGCCACGTTAAGCAGTTTAACATTTCAGAAGAAGTTATCCCAAAAAACGTGTGCCATCAAAAAGACAAGGTAGACGAAAATGGTCAGTTTATTGACAGAAGTGTAAATATTCAAAACATTGACACAGACGTGTCCAAAAATTCAAAACAAATCTTAAGAAAAACTTTGGTGAAGTTGATAAAGAATCAAATATATATGATGACAATATGCATCAACAGGATATGTATTCAGATGAACATACACCTTTCAATATTGAATAAATTCAAAGTAAAAACAACCCAAATAGAAAATACCACTGATGTTTGTATACATCTAATGCCTATGTAGTCAATTGATAATCTGTGTTACCAATGTATGTCCTCATACGTATTGACTGTGCAGTTAATTCTTTATTCACAGTCCTTTCAATAACATATTATTAATGAGGACATATGGTTTTGCAGCAAACTACTATAGTTTTTGCCGACATATTTGCAATGATTGTTTTGCAGTAATCGCCTTGTAATTTTCGTTTTGTTCTTCAAAATCGTGTAGACTCTTTATTTGTCTAAACTCTGATTGCATCCAGTCTTTATTCGTTTTATAGCACTTTCTTTGATTAGTAGTTTCTGAGAAAAAGCAACAAAAATTTTATTGTAGGGACATACAGAGAAGTTTTCATAAACTAGTATATTCCCCTCCTTTAAATTGTGGGTATAATAAAAAAGAATTGAACAATCGCAATTCTTACTTTACCCTATCACATAATTATCCATCCCTCACAAGTAAGTGATCTTCTCAGTGATTGTTGCTGTCTCTGTTTACTTGTTTACATTTAATAGAATTCATTTTTGAAGTATAACTTTTTGTCATCTCCATAGTAATCATTTTAAACAATCTGTTTTTTTTTTAAAACTAAGGTTCCAACTCCTCATGAAACAACCTTATTTGAATTTTGCTATTTTTTTTTAGATCCCTTTTGATAATTATGCCCCTAACGTTTCGTATTTATACTGCCCTGGTTTTCATATGTTTTGGTTTGAGCATTCCTGAGGATGGTAAATTCATACAAGTGCCCTGGATGTACAAAATGTATGGTTTTATTTTCATCTACTTTGAATCCAGGTGATTGATGCCATACATTTTGTATCTGATAAATTTTCCAAGTCCAAGGACCATAACTCTGCACAAAATTATCAAACCGGAACAAAATTCGAACTTATCTGTAACTTGTCATGATAAAACAATATACCAAATATCAAATCAATATCTTCAAGCATGAAGAAAAAAAGTGTGGAAAACTGATTTGCCGGACTGACAGAAGGACAGACGGACAGACAGACGGACGGACGGACGGACGGACGGACAGACAGACAGACAGACAGACAGACAGACGGAGTGCAAACCTAAAGTCCCCTTCGACTTCGTCGGTAGGGGACTAATAAAAACAATGACTGTAAAAACTTCAAATTTATTAATTCAAAAAAAGGAAAAGCTTCTACTGTGTACATTAATGACTAGAAAATCTTACAATTAACTGCCTAATGCATCATTGTATTATGGAACTTTCTTCATTTTATAATACCTAAAAACTTTTAACATATTTTGCAGCAAATGCAATTGGTCAATATTTTATTGAAATTCGTCATTGTCAAATCTTTTCAACAAACTTTAATCAATCTTTTCTGAACAAACGCTATTTGGTTTCTACTTTGTCAGTTATCACTTAAAAAAACTATATAAGGAGTGCTGACATCTTTGCATCTGCAATTTAAAAAAAAATGTTGGTCTCTTTTCTGTCCAAATTTTAAAGATTCAAATATCTACACAATGGAATGATCTATGGAAACCATGAAAATGTACATACAATGCAAATAATGTGGCAATTTGGATAAATGGATTTAACATATCCCCATCATCAAACACTTTCATATGTCACAAGTCGGACTGCTAAACTAACAAAAGAATTGATCTAAGGCTACCAGAGAAAAAATAGTTAATTGACAACAGAAAAAAACAGGACTAAAACTAGTGATAAATTCATCAAATGTATGGGGAAATTACGCTACAAATCATGGCACAAACAGTACAATATAAGGTTACTAAATATCAATTTGTAACATTCACAATAAAAATGGTAGTTTGTTCCACATGATAAACTAACTTGTCTATATAGCTATCAAACTAGTATTGTCTGAGTTATGAGAAGAGCCATTATTTGGCTACTGAAATGCAAAAATAGTTACATATTCAACCTTCAAAATTCAGGTTAATTTTACTACAATGTAATAAATAAAAAGGCTGACTGATATAGTCTGGCCACTCTAATTCAGATATGTTATTTGTGATCTAGTAAGTCTTAATTGACAGTTTCGACTTATCAGTTGTAACTGCTGACTTAATCTATCAAAATACCTGACAGAATTGATCAAAACCATATTAATCATTGTCTCTTTGTTCGATGTCAGATTATAAAATGCAACTTTTGGTGAAACAGTATACATGGAAACCTTCCTCTAGCTTGTGACCATAAAAAAATCCAGACCTTCCAACCATTTAATTTTTGGAATGGAACTCTTAACCCACATATTTTTTGCCTTATCCCATATTCTGCAAATCCAAATTCATTTATCAAGGTACTGAACAATTAACATTCCACATTACATTCAATGTTATATTTTGTTTTAATGATGGACTAATGGAGATATTTCAGTGTAACAAATATAAGCTGCCATGATGTGATATGCTGATGACATCCACTTTATATAGCAGCAGATGACAGTATTTTGGCCACAATATAATGGCAAATCTTAAATTCACATTATGTCTGTACCATTCAAAGTTTGTTATATGATAATAAATTAGCACCTGGAGTTGTACTTCAGCCAGTCATTCCATTTGTAAAACTAAACAGTTTCATGTTGACCAAGGATTTGTTCAAAAATTATTTCACATGATTCACAAGATCATATATCAATCAATTACATACAACAGAAACCAGTTCAATCTTACAGAGAGCTTTGGGAAAAAAAATTAAATCTAGTATATTGATCTTCAATCATATGATAAATCATTCAATGGTATCTTTAAACATGGATTAATAACTACCTGACATTTATATAAGCATAATCAATATAAGTTTCAGGAATAATAAAAGGATAGAAAAATAAAGCAAACATAACTGAATCTTAACAAAGTAAAACAATTGTGTGGAATGTCAAATTATAAAATTGGTATTTGGTCATATCATATAATGGAAAATTATTTGAACATATGTCATTGAAATTAGGTGCTGTAATACCACTCTAGGGTGCTGACATTTTTATTCTGTTACAAAACAGTGAATTGTGCAAACAGATTTCAATTTATTCTGTTACAAAGCAGTGAATTGTGCAAACAGATTTCAATTTATTCTGTTACAAAGCAGTGAATTGTGCAAACAGATTTCAATTTAACCTTGAAGTATATAAAATTCGAGCTACTGTAAATTCAGAAATTATTGCGAGGTTTTTATTAATGCGAATAATGCAACTACTCGAGTATCGCAATAATAAGAACTCGCATTCTGATATCAAATACATATATCTTTATCTGATGTTCATTTGTTGTCGTTTGTTGATGTGGTTCATAAGTGTTTCTCGTTTCTCGTTTTTTATATAGATTACACCGTTGGTTTTCCCGTTTGAATGGTTTTACACTAGTCATTTTTGGGGCCCCTTATAGCTTGCTGTTCGGTGTGAACCAAGGCTCAGTGTTGAAGACTATACTTTGACCTATAATGGTTTACTTTTATAAATTTTGACTTGGATTGAGAGTTGTCTCATTGGCACTCATACCACATCTTCTTATATCTATCTTTATGTTGTTTTTCCTAAATCGCAATAATTAAACTCGCATTTTTGTTAATTTTTCAAAAATTGCAATAATAAATACACGCAATAATTTCTGAGTTTACAGTATTATGGATTTCCAAAACACCAATAAATATCATATGAAAAATATAACAAAAACAAAATTAATATGAGACAGAAAATCATATATGACAATAAGCAAAAATTCATAAAAAAAAATTACAAAAAGTAATGGATGATCATACAAGAAAATAATTGCACCTTCTTTTTAACTCTTACCATAGGTAAAGTCATGCTTCAGTTAAACTCATATTTTTCCAATTTGAGATCTTTAACATCTACATAGATAATAAGTGAGATCAATCAATATATGCCATATAATATTTAATCCAAAACTAAATTGGGAAATTTTCTGCATCATCATGTAACTTAATCCAAATAATTTAGTCCCTCCCATGTGATTGACTCTCCCGTTAATGAGGCCCTGAACTCTTTATATGATAAAAATTTCTTGCCATTTGTTTTGACATTTTGGATATATTTTCTGATTAATCGTGTCTCGAATATATTTGAGTTTCAATTCTTTAGGTTTGATTTTTTTGTCATTTCTATCTAATATGAACATTTCATCAGAAAGTTTCAATTCTATGTTTGTTTTTACATTAATTTCATTATTAATTTCTAAAATTTGTAAGAAGTCGATTGGTATTGAACTTTTAACTCTTGAAAATTCCGATATACAGTTTCTTTTATCCACAAGTTTTTCAAATATAGAACAACAACTGTAAAATTCGTTGGTTTCTTCATTCCATATGTCTTTGATATATTTCATGTTACTTTTTAGAAAGGAAGAAAAAAACAATGGCTTATTTTGGAATAAAATTTTTGAATTACCAAATAGTCTCATATTAAGTACCTCGTGCTTTGTTTTGGGATTATCTCCAATTTTTAGAAAATTAGACCATGTATAGACCATTTTCTGATAAAATAAAGGAATATTTTTAAGATTTAGTCCATTAATATTTGAACATTTACATAAAAAATATTGATCATAATACTTATTGTCAAATTGTCGAAGCCAATACTTGCCAATCGCATTCCAGCTTTCAGCATAATGATGGTTAATCTCATGGGTCTAATCCAGAGCATTGTTTGATCATATTCACAAATTGTAGAAGTAAATCAGATATAATATAGCACTAATGAAAATTCCCACAGCTTTGTAACAGTGAAAATAGATGTACACATTTTATTTTTTAAGCTTCAATTTATGTGTAATGTAATTTATTTAACATTCGTAATTTCTAATTGTTTGTTGCCTTTTATATTCTGTTTGATCATTTTCAAATATAGTGCAAGAGGCATAATGATAGTGGTTCAAAAAAGTCTGTAGTTTTTTGTCTGGTTCTTGTTCTTATTTTAATGAAATTTATAGTGAATGGAATTATTTGAATAAAAAAAATTAAGGCATGATTTTGTTCTTTTTTTGAGAAGTCAATATATCAAAAGAATACATATGTAACAAATAAACCACTCTGTCATAATATTTGTTAGCAATATCTACAGGATTATATATGGGGAAAAAAAACACATTTTCATACATACAGCAAAAACCAACTTATACATGTACAAAATGAACTTTTAAAATTGCAAAAATTAAGAAAAGCTAAAATTAATTGTTCTCGAAGATCATAATATCTTGTAAGACATCCCTGCCAAAAGTCTTAACAAACTCCTATCCTGGAGGAAATGTTCATATACTAAAAAAACAACCTTGCCTGAAATTTTCTATTCCTGTTGGGCTTCTACCTCTTCTTTGTGAGCTTTACTATTCATGTGGGCTATGAAAGGCTGAGGTCCATTTAGCTGTTTTTGACAAATATCACAGTAATATTTTTTCAGATTATCTTCCTTTTCAGCGTCAGTTTCAGCAGGGCCGTTCTTAGCATAGGCTGACTTGTAGGGTTTAAATTGCACTGGAAAATAGTTAAGTTGTATTGTACTGAATATTAAGATTTTAGAATTGCATCAAGTGTGATACATTATTTCTTCACATGAGACAATTAAATTTTCAAATTTAAACCATGAGGCTTGCCAGTGTTTAAAATATTCAAAATTTAACATTTGAGAGTGGAGAAATATCCTATTGCATGATATTTGTAGTGGTATCTGCTGGTGGATTCTCTTTCTAGCATGATTATTCACAATACATTTTTTTTACATAGGCAAACTTTTTCTTTTTCTATAATCTGCAAAAAAATGTCGTCTTTTTATGTGACTTCTAAACCATTAATGAGTTTAAATGTATGATCCAAACCACAAATGAGTATATACATTGTATCAGTTAAAATATCTTGTTAAAGTTCACAAGAGTGGACACACTGAAATGTCTCGCCTGTTTTAGTGTTCATAATTGAATTTATGTTGAAAGTAAAAAAAATAAGTTTATATAAGCTTTACATTAAATTAACATTTTAATGATGAATGAACATGAAGTCAAGGTGAGATAAACCCTATCAGACAAACATGTAGGCCGTACAATCATTCCATACACCAAATTTATTTAACATATATTGCCTAAAGTATCTAAGAAACAAACCTCATTGAGGAAACTGAACTTTGACCAATGAACCATAAAATGAGGTCAAGGTAAGATGACACCTGTCAGACAGACATATAAACATAACATTCATTCCATACATATAGGTCTGTAATGCTTTTACATTCATGTTGAGTAACATGTTTTTAGAAAAAACAGCATCATAAAATCACATGGGATACACTTTTGGCTAATAAATCACAGGCAAATATAGCAACAACATTTGAGTAAATAAAATCGCATTATACAAATTTTTTTTTTGAAACATTAAGTCAAATGACTACTAAAAGCAAACTTTGAAATTTCTTATGAAATAATTTTTCATCTAGATTTAAGGTTCATCAGAAGGGATTGACAAATATGGCCATTTTTTTTATTATTTCCTCTTGAGTACAGACAAACCTGTGCACAAGGAAAAGTTTTAAGGCATTGCAGAAACTGGATAAATATTTGTCAATTCCTTGAGATGAACCTGAAAGACCCCCCCCCCCCCCCCAAAAAAAAAAAAAACTAAAATTATCTTCAATCTTCAATCAAAATATTGTAAAAAGTCATATTTTCATATTATCTATTTATCTATTTATGTTGCTATGCTAAAATATTTTTTACTTATCTCAATACTTATCTTATTTCATATGTATCAAAAATCAGTAAATGTGATTCTGTTGTGCAAACAAAATTTCAAAAGTTCTTCAATCTGTACATATTCAGCCAATTAATCTTTATGAAGGGACTGGAGTGAACTGTATTCTATGTTAAACATTCATGCATGAGTGACCTTATTTTAACATTTTCACACCTTCCAATGTTTTTGTTAATCACGGTTTAGTAATGATCCCTTAAAAGTTTTTATTATTTATTATCATTATAAATGTTATTTAAAGATTTTTATAAAATAATCTATTTCAATGTAAGTAATCAGCAGTTAAATAATAAAATACATTCCATACACCAAATATAGTTGACCTATTACTTATAGCATCTGAAAAGAAGACCAAACAACAGAAACTTAACATTGACCAATGAACCATGAAAATAAGCTCAAGGTCAGATGAAACCTGTCAGACAGACGTGCACACCTTACAATCATTCCATACACCACATATAGTTGACCTATAACTTATAGTATCTGAGAAGAGGACCAAACAAGAGCAACTTAACATTGACCAATGAACCATGAAAATGAGGTTAAGGACAAATGACACCTGCCAGACAGACATGTACACCTTACAATCATTCCATACACCAAATATAGTTGACCTATTATAGTATTAGAAAAACAGACCAAAACACAAAAACTTAACATTGACCAATGAACCATGAAAATGAGGTCAAGGACAAATGACACCTGCCAGTCAGACATGTACACCTTACAATCATTCCATACACCAAATATAGTTGACCTATTGCTTATAGTATTAGAAAAACAGACCAAAACACAAAAACTTAACATTGACCAATGAACCATGAAAATAGGTCAAGGAAAAATGACACCTGCCAGACAGACATGTACACCTTACAATCATTCCATACACCAAATATAGTTGACCAATGGCTTATAGTATTAGAAAAACAGACCAAAACACAAAAACTTAACATAGACCAATGAACCGTGAAAATGAGGTCAAGGTCAGATGAAACCTGCCAGACTGACATGTATCCCTTATAATCATTCCATACACCACATATAGCTGACCTACTGCTTGTAGTATCTGAGAAACGGACCTAATCACGTAACTTTAACCTTGATCACTGATCCATGAAATGAGGCTGAGGTCAGGTGAACCCTGTCTATTGGACATGTAGACGTTGCAAGGAACCCATATACCAAATATAGTTATCCTATTACTCATAAAAAGTGAGAAATTTACATAACAAAAAAACTAAACTTTTTTTTCAAGCAGTCGCTGAACCATGAAAATAAGGTCAAGGACATTGGACATATGACAGACGGAAAGTTCGTAACATAAGGTATCTGCATACAAAGTATGAAGCATCCAGGTCTTCTACCTTCTGAAATATAAAGCTTTATACAAATAGTTTACGCCGCCGTCGTCACTGCCGCCGCCGGATAGTAATACCTATGTCTCACTTTCTGCGACTTTCGTCGCAGGCGAGACAATAAAACACAGATAAATTTTTGACAAAATAGAATTGTTATGGTTGGCATCTACATATCAAGCAAGGCCTCATATTACCTAGGTTAAGAAAAATTCCGGAATAAGCAGGCAAAATTCCCTTTTATTCCAATTGGTAAATGGAATTTTTTGTATCCCACTAATGGGTCAAAGGCCCAATTTAAATGCAGGAAAGGAGAAATGAATGAGAGCTAGTATTTACTTTAATTTTATTTTATTTTTTAGAAAACTGACATGTCATCAAGTGCCACAAATTTTATTCGAGAGGCACAGAAATGAATAATTAATACTGATGCAAAAAAACTCAAAATCCAAGCACTGTGTATTTCAGCTGCCATTTCATAAATGGTGGGCAATCCATAATTTTCTTAAAAAGCTATCAATTTGGAATAGAAAATCATAAATACATATCAATTGTCATTGAAATCCTAGGAAAAACAGATGTTTCTCAGAATTTGTCCTTTTTTAATAAAATTTTGACATACAGAACAAATTTGGAACGCATGTTATAATTTTACATAACTGATGGTGTTTTTTTCAAATGAGAGGGTGTTTCTGGCTGCAATCTCATTGAAGACTTTAAAGATCATTGATAATCTGTGTATCGCTTCTTTCCTTGGCAATGTCAATGAAATAGATTTACGACGTCATCGTGTTCTCACTCAACTAAGAGAAAAACAAATTCAGTCAAGAAGCACGATATGAAGAATTATCACAAAAAAAAGTTTAAGCAAAATTTAAGAAAATAGCGATAATACTAATATATCAATTTTTTTGTTAAAATCCTTACACAAAAAAAAAAGTTTCTGATAGTTTGTGATTTTTTAACAAAAAGTAAGTTTAACCCCATATTTGACACCCAGAATCAATTTGGAATAGCACGTTATATATTTATGTCACAATTTTCATGTACTCAAATTTGACATGGTCACATCAAATCTGAGTGAAAATTTCCAATCCAAATTAAGGCCCTAAATTTAGATACCACACATGTCAACTTTATACACACACAAACAAATAGAACTATTAACATATTAAATGAGAAATACATTTCTAATTCAAATAGATCTGTTTTCTTTAGGTTCTAATTTGGTAATTGTCTGTTTGCTCAATTATTGCTAAAGACTTGTTTTTCTGTTTATTAATTTACTGTTGAACAAAAATAAATTCTTCTTGTTTGACAAGAATGAATTTCTGCATTACTTTTGTATCAAAAAATTATTTTACCGTTTATAAACTTGCAGTTGAACAATCATATCTTCCTCTTGTTTGACAAGAATGAATTTCTGCATTACTTTTGTATCAAAAAATTATTTTACCGTTTATAAACTTGCAGTTGAACAATCATATCTTCCTCTTGTTTGACAAGAATGAATTTCTGCATTACTTTTGTTTCAAAAAATTATTTTCCCATTTATAAACTTGCTGTTAAACAAACATACCGTCCTCTTGTTTGACAAGATTGAATTTCTGAATTACTTTTGTATCAAAAAATTATTTTCCCGTTTAAAAACTTGCGTTGAACAAACTTACCTTCCTCTTGTTTGACAGGCTCAGGTTTCTTTAACCATGGTAACGATGTAACTTCTTCCTCTACTGCCTACAACAATAAATATGTAACAAATTTTCTTTACACTGTACAAGAATTTATACTTTTATAAAAGATAATATGTACCTGTTTTTTTTTATTCTATCTTGGTACATGTGGTATGTTTGGTGTATTTTGTTTTAGTTTTTGTTTCTCTTTAACTCTTTACTTCTCTTGTTTCTTTCACTTCAGCATTGTAGGTTTTTTTGTCAAATTTCACTTCTTTTAAATTTATATTTAGGCAATGCTAATCCAAATTTTGGATATACATACCACAGCAAACCAAAGAAACATAAAATAAACTTTAGAACTATGGAGTACATAAAGGTGAGTTTGCCTACAAGAAACCACTAACATAAAATAAACTTTAGAACTATGGAGTACAAGGTGAGTTGGCCTACAAGAAACCACTAACATAAAATAAACTTTAGAACTATGGAGTACAAGGTGAGTTAGCCTACAAGAAACCACTAACATAAAATAAACTTTTAGAACTATGGAGTACAAGGTGAGTTCGCCTAAAAGAAACCCCTTTTTGAATCCAATATTACAGGTAAGACATATTCACCTTGATTACATTACGGTTAAGTTGATTCCCTAAAAAACTTCCTATATTTTTCAGATTTCTCGAAAAGTGGTGGTCCAAAAGGTTTTGACCACCAAAATTTTGCAAAGGATCGACACAATTTTGGTATTTTGCAATAGAACTAATAGTATGAACCAGCAGATTTTCTTCAAGGACCACCAGGGAAAAAAAGATTTCAAGAACTCTTACTTTTACTTTTATTTACAGTTATGTTTAGACAGAAAGGAAAAAAATGTATAATATGTGGTTATCTATATCAATGTTCGTCTATACTCAGGCAGACATCAAATCACAAATAACTGTTAATAATTTTACTGCTTCTTTTGTGTTTTCTTTATTTTATGAATCCACAAGGAAAAGCAAGGGAGTTTACAGTTTTACACTGTACATCTGCTTAAGGAGTACATCAAAAGTCAACTCTTCAGATATCAGTAATAGCCTGTATATCTTTTCAAATCTTATCCTGATGACTAATCTCTTATAAAGCAAGTTCACTCTCCCACATTAGAGACAAAAAAAATATTATTTTACCTACAGCAGTTGTTTGTCAAGTAAAAATTGAAAATTGTTGTCAAAACATTGCTTGTATACACAATATACCAAGATTATATAAGCATTGTCGTCTTTTAATGCCAACAAATTAAATTGAATAGATGTTGTTTTAATTATAATTAATGAATTTTTAGTAAATTGAATTATCAGGAATATAGTATATTTACGGTAAAATATCTTGTACTAATGTTGCTGTTTTCCGTAGGAAATAAATGAAGTACTTGAAAAATTTGAACATTTTGCACTGAAATGAAAATGAAAAGAAATAAATAAATAATTTGCAAGAGTTGTTTAAAAAAAGTAATAAAAATGGAATCGACAATACCTAGTTTGTACTTCAAAGCTTTAAAGGAGAAATAAATTCTGAAATGAAATTAAATTAAAAAAAATTGCATTGAATGTTTAAAAAGACTATGAGTGGGTAGATATTTTGTGATGGCAGGGGCATAAAAAATGACAAATACATTTGTACTTTAAAGTCATATGAAACAAGTTTCTTGTAATTATAATGTTAAGGAAATTATTGAACCCATGAATGCATATATACTAAACTAAGTCCTCTATGCATTTTTTACATTTATTACGAATCTATAACATATTATCATGATTATCAACAAATAATATTTTATTCAGTGATTGTTGATCACAAGCTAATTAACCTTTGAGTTTGTTGCGGAAGTAACTTAATTTACCTGATCGAGAAATTAAACTAGAGGCTCTAAAGAGCCTGTGTCGCTCACCTAGGTCTATGTGCATCTTCAACATTGTAGACTACTGTTTACAGTTTCTCTCTATCTTATTTAGCTTTTGCCCAAAACACAAAAGAGGGTATTAAAAAATCATCATTTAAGAGCAATCACTCCTATCTACTAACTTTTTTGGCAGAATTTGACCTGATTGTATATCTTGTCTTGTTAATCATTTTTGTTATTTAAAGTTTCTATCTATCTTTTATAGGCTCGTAAAAATCACCATGAAAGAGCAATAACTTCAATAACCAGTTGACTGACAAATTCGGCTATTAGATTTATTTGTAGATCTTGTCTTGCTGATCACTTATGCTGTTTAAAGTTTTCATATATCTATTGTAGTTTTTAAGATTTAAGGCAAAAACGCCAAAAAATAGAAAAATTGTCATTAATGGTCAATAATTCTAATAAGGAGTCGATTGATGATTGCCTCTACATTGACCTATTTGATGACCTTGTCTTGCTGATCAGTTTTGCTGTTTAAAGTTTCTCTCTATCTATTATAGTTTGCAAGATAATAGGCAAATTGGGAAAAAAGTAGTAAAATTCGTCATTTTAGGGCAATAACTCCAATAAGAAATTGTCTGACAGTTAAGACGTAAATAGAGCTCAACATTCTGAACATTTTTGCTCTGTCAGATTTTCACTATTTATAGCAGTTTTCAAAATATTAAACAAAACTTTCATTTTACCCCTATGTTCTATTTTTAGACATGTCTGCCATCTTGGTTGGCAAGCAGGGTCATCATACACATTTTTTAACCTAGATACTCGAATGATGATTGTGGTCAAGTTTGGTTAAATTTGGCTCAATAGTTTCAGAGGAGAGGATCTTTGTAAAAGTTAATGGACAATGGACGACGACGATGACGACAACAGACGACGGATGCAGGACAGATGCCAAGTGATGAGAATAGCTCACTTGACCCAAGTGCTTTTCTTTCCATAATTGAAAATAGGGATATTATCACAGGTGACAATTTGGATCTTTAAGTAAGGGTAAAACATGCACAAAAGTCATTTTCATATCTAAATATATGACTAGATCTTTACCATGACATATGATGTTGGTACATATCCTACTCGTCCATCAGAACTTCTGATTTTGGACCATAGATTATTATATTGATGATATGATATAAACACAGCCGTATCTTTCTGTGTTATAGTAAGCTCTGGTTCTCCTAATGGACTGTCTGCATTAGCTTTATAACTGTATTTCACTACTAAATTCTGATTTGGAATTAAATTTACTTCATCTGTCTTGTCAGCATAATTAGCCCAGTCTATAATAAAAAAAAACATTTTAATTTGTGCTTAGACAGAATCTGAATGGAACATCTAAGATAATGAAATCAGGTCTTTCAAAATATTTTGAAGTAGGCTTAGTAGCATTTTAAGGATATCAAAGGAGACAGCTACTTACCTCTTAATTTATATGAAGAAAAGTATGTGGCTTTTGAAGTAAAATTGCAGGGCAAAAGAAAAACCACTACCACTTGCACATTCAAAAGACTTGTGAATAAAAGATATTAGGTAAATTAGGAAGCCTTCTTGATAAAAATTATGAATTAACAATATTAGTTTTTTAAGCAGTTACCTGTCCTTTTAAACAAAATCCACTGTAGGAAAATATGCCACTGTAGGCAGGATATTTTATAGTCTGCTGCTGAACCAAGACAAAAATACTTGCAAGGTGATATTGGACTTAACAACTCTACATGTATGAGGAGGAAAATGTCTCTGTATGGGGTGACATGTGTAAAATAAAACAATTCACTTAGTCAACTCATCAGAAAAGATTTTCAATATCCATTTAAAGATTTAATTTAATACAAAGCAGCACCCCATCTCAAAACCATTATACTACATGTTCTTAATAATGCAAACAATTGAAACACAACCTACTAAACATTAAGCCATCCATCCTTCTTAACTTTATAGTGGCTAACATAGTCAATTTTTTAAGCTGCTTTTATTAGAGAAAGTTTTTTTTAAGATTAACAATGGAGCCTTTAAAACAAGCATAAGACTAAATAAGAGCATATGCACCTTCTTGGACAGTTGGACAAATATAAATTTTATGTTATAGACAAATGCATTCAAAACCAAAGGGAGATAATTCTATGTAAATTCAATGTAACAACTATCTACAAGTACTTACCTCCACATTTAATCTCAGGACTTTTTAATGCATCAGGACTTTTTATAGTTTCTCCTTGATTGTTTTCTGGAATCAAAACTCTTGGTCTACGTAGTGGTTTGTCCCACTGTTTGAGACCAAACACACCTCTTCCACATCCATGATATAATTTTGGTGGCATTACAGACATCTGAAATACAATGTATAAAACATATCATATCATATAGTTATTCCATTTACATATCTATAAAGGATATATTCATACTGTATAAGTTTGCATGTGCAATACATTGTATGACACTACAAGAGATGACTATTCCTTAACATTTGTCCAATATCCAGTTTCGAGTAATTTGCTACAGTACTATACCATTACAATGTGATTTTAAAGCAAAATCATAGTCACTCATTAACAAATCTTTGAACAACTCCATAACATCAATAAGTGTGCAAACTTCTTTTGTAGTTTCAATGACCTGGGTTGAAACCTATTGGAGGAGTTGATTTCACAAAATAGGTATCCTGTTTTAAAAATTATGCTAGAAAAAGACTTAAATCCCAAATCTTGAAATATGGTAACCCAAATAATTCAGTTGTTATATTCCACTGATCTACAATTGCTACATTAACGCCTGAATGCATAGACAATGAAAAATATTCAATCAATCATTCAGAATTAGCTCGGCATTTACCTATCTTGATAAAATTGAGTTGACTAATGATTGGTCACCTCCCTTACAGGGCACCAATCAAAATCCAGAATTCCAGTAGAGTTTTAAGTCTGTTAGGATGTCTAGCCCTCACAAGTTGGAGAGATCGATTATGGGGAGGGACTGAATTATTCATGTTAGAAAAATTGGGATAAAATCCTCAAACAGTTTTATAATTACAGGTGCAGAACTTTAATATGTGCAATCTTTCTATTAAGTTCAAAGTATCTACGTTAAAAACTGTACTACCCCCTGTCATCACAAAACCATTTGTAAGCTGGTTTTGCATTTAGTGCAACAGGCCAAATATTAAGCTGAATATTATATTTTGCAAAGAAATTTACAGAAATATAAATAGCTATGTCCTAGTTTTTGAATAATGCAAATCAATTAACTTCAAGATGCACATTCAGGTGTTAATAAACTGAGATAATGGAAAAAAAATATTCTCTTATGGTTGTGGGCTGTTATCTATTTCTTGCATAAAGAGATATTTCTCGTATCACACTGCACGGAGTGTGATACGAAAATCTGCGTTAATCTGATTGGCTTATCCAGTACCATGAGACAATATTACGACATTTCCATTGGGTATTCGCTAGGTCATTGATCACCTTCAAAGGTTAAGATGATGTACATTTCTTCCATGGCAACGGACATATGTGATTTCTTCAAAAATATACAAAACACTCACACTTTTCGCCTGAAAATCTTTTTTTTGTCAAATTTTATTACATTCTGAAGCTTACAAAAAGTTTTAAAATGTCCGATGTTAATGTTTGACACGGGAATAGGACATATGACGTCATACTTGTATGTGCAAAAGACTAGATCAATTATTCACGGAATTCTTAATTTAACACAATGAAAGTGTTGACCATAAGAAAAATAGGTTTAACAACTTGTAAAAATTGGATATCACTTGATATCAACTCTCGTTATTTAATTTAAATAGTAAAAATAAACTCAAATAACTCGAGTTGATATCAAGCAATATCCAATTCTCACTCATTATGAAACCCATAACAATATAAAGTTATTCCAAAATTATTTTATGCTCAACATACATCACAGTAAAACAGACATGCAAGATGCAAACAGTGTCATTACTTTCTGCACAGACAATCACTCCTCAATTTATAAAATGTACCAGCTATCAATATTAACCAAGACTGCTACATGTATCTGAAGAAAGAGATAAATTAAAATTGCTAAACTACCTGAAAGTTACTAATGATAATATATATACCCATACACTTTATTGTGAAGGCTATCATTAAACAGTACAGTGTAATTAAGCAGACTACACCTACAACAGGTGTTTCTCATAACTACCATTACTCAATTAACTCTTAGATATATAGTTATGATGAACTAAGTAAACCTATTAACCATGTTAACCAGGTATTGATCATCTTTACATCATTTAATGAATGGATATACTATGTACTTAAAAGTATAAAAGCGTTACTTTAAGTAAATGATTTGAACATTTTCTCAAGGTTTATATACATGTATCTAATAATATACATTAAACCAAATGTGTAACAGCAAAAAATTACCAACTGCTGAACACTTTAAGTTTTAACATGTTAACAAATAAGTTTAAAGATAACATCCAGATGGAAGATCTTCGAAGATTTGTAAACATTACAGCAGATCTAGACATCCTCAAAACAATGTGAATGCCAGGAAATCCAGATAATTTCAACTTCAAAAGAATGATGGTTTTTCAAATCCAAATGAATTTTGTGAAGATGCTCCTAGTTATTTGTAAACTTTCTGCATCTTAAAAGCAGAAACATTTGTAACTCACCAGATCAATTAAAAATCAACTATTTCCGTAACAGGTTATCCTTTTTAAATCAGACTTTTATTTTACCAGAGATCTTAACCTTACTCTCCTAAAACTTACAATAAAAAATTTCATTTGAAAAGTTAGTACTGGTAATCTTAAAATGAGAAATGTTTTAAAGTGAATGTTTAAAACAAAGTATATTAACAAGGATTTTAAATTTAAAGAAGCTTCTATACAAAAGAAAATAATTTTTAAGTTTGACTTATGTTTATATTTATTTAACTTTTAAGACCATTTATGATTGTCAAAATCAAGCTAATGCAAAACAAAACAAAATATGAGTGATTTCACACAACTGACCCTTCACATTTTTTCATGTCAAAATGTATTGTCTTAGTTGAAGCACAAGTTCTGTATATAAACCAAAAATAGTGGTTTCTTTAGAACAAAAATGGACAAGAAAACCAAACCTATAACATATCTCACCAAAAACTGGATAAAGTTAATTAGTTAACAATACTAGTTTTTGCATATGTAAGAGTCTATGTTCAGCCTCAAATCTGTGTCTTTCCTCAAATTGGTGTCCTATCCTTTATATTGTGTCACAGATGTCACAAATCTATGTCCTTTCTTTTTATTTTAGTTTCAACTTTTGTTATTACTTTGGTGTTATTGTTAAGTCCTTGACATACAAGTTACACATAGAATATAAATAGAAGTAATTAATTATAATTGACTCTCTTAGGAGATTATACCCAGCATGCAACATTGTAATTACTTATTTCTCTTTTCTGAACATCCAACTATTTTTATTTCAGCAACAGACTTTTCTTTTGTCGTTTACTTAAAAAAATTATTTCAGCTATTGAAATATGAAATTTACTTGTATAAGGCTATGAAATTTACTTGTATAAGGCTGTGAAATTTACTTGTATAAGGCTAAGAAACAAGTAGAATGTGAGGCTTTTGAGAGTACAAATTAATTTTATATTTTGAAACAATGTATAGTTATTCTCTTGTACTGCAACTCTTATAGCTGTTCCTTCCAAATGAAATATTTTGGGTGAAAACAATCAATTCTGGACAGTCTGACAGGAGTAATACTTATATGTAATGCTTTTTTACTTGAAGATGTAATATTTACTTGTAAAAGTAAATCCGTAAGATTTGAATTTTCATTTAAATTTGAATAATCTCCCTTTAATCTTCTCCAAAAATTTACTTATACAAGTAATTTTTTTTACAACACCTAAAATTCCAGTTTTGGTACGTAAAAACATGCATATACAATTTTTTCTTGTTTGATAATATTTTTTAATTAGAGTTCAACCTTTGATCTCAAGAATTTAACAAGAAACCTACTGTGCACAGAAGTATTAAACTGCACAAGGCTTTCAAAAATTCCTCACTGGAGGCTTGTTAATAACTGAGCAATGTTTTGAAGATATTTTCATGTTCATGAATACTCATTTACAGCAATGTAAACAAAACAAATTCAAGAAAAGAAGAAAATATGACCTTTTTACTTATATTCATATACAAGTAAAAAAAAAACTGAATGTCTAAGCTGAGATTACTATAACACTGTTATAGTAATCTAAGGTCTAAGGGAGATAACTCTACCTCCAAAATCGACACAGGACGTTTTGCCCATACTGCCAGTTCGGCCATGGCATGGTTTTTATTGTCCTTATAGACAGACATATGTATATATAGATGTAAAAAAAACTATGTATATATCTCTGTTTTAAAGGAAGGAAAATATAATTGTTTCTAGAAACAGATGTTAAGAAACAAATGGAAAAATACATTTATCATACATATGTACATTTATTTTCCTTGATAAAAATGTGTATCAATTGATGTATGTTATCAGAAAATTCGTTAAATGGTGATTATTAATAAAATTTGAAGCTTTTTAATAAACCAAAAAAGATACGAGTTATTTAAAAAGTGAATAAGATTGTTGTTTTTATCAGAGATATTTATATATGTCTCTGTTCTTATCATAATAATAATAATAACAATACGATACATCTGATAATCTGATAATTTGTTAATTGTTTATTATCATATCTTTGCTGATAAATTATTCACTTGCAAGTTCGACCTCATTGAATCCGTATTCATGTGACCTTCAATTTAACCCCTTAGCTAGAGTTGGGTTACACATAAATTAGGCGTGTTCAGTTATCAAAAGGAAAAGAATGTCAACATTGAAAGTGAAACAAGGGTAAACCATTTGATTGACTGATTAGCTTGACAAAAACTCATTCTTATACAGGTAAACACGATGATTAACATATATTTGTAACCTATAATACGAAATCAAACAGACCTAGAAAAATCCAATTACACAAGTTCGCTACCTATTGATATCTACATTTATGTTTACCTCGGGTTATATGACCGTCTGCAGTCTTCGAAGGTCACCTTGATAGTTAATTAGATGGCATCTAGACTAAAATACACATGAAATGCTGATACATATTATCGAGCCCATGCATTGCAAATTGTTTATTTTAGACTTTTTATAACTTTGATATTCGTTTTAATATGTTATAAATCAAATATGAGAATTTGAGTCAAATCGGTGAACATGAATTTGACAGCTAATGCCCCTTTAACAGACTGCTGATTATCAAATGCAAATCTGTAAAAATGGAATCAACACAGCAGATGTATAAATATAAGATGCAGTCGTTGGTGTCCATGTTTCTCATACTTATGTTTCTTGTGGACAAATTGTTTATTTTCCGTTCTCTGTTCTGAAAAAAAATATATTAATGAAGCACCAAAGTTAAAGGGAAACGTTGTTAATGTCTTAAGGTGCGTTTACAAGGTATGATTTTTCTTTTGAATTCACCTGTACACCTGCTTTTGACTAAAATCACCCTGTGTGGACACTAAAATAGGTTAATCAAATGGAAAATAGTATCTTGTGAACAGAATGCTGAGCGATTTACTTGGCCGATGGTATCAAATCAGTTTTAAAATCGTACCGTGTAATCACACCTTTAATCATGCGTCACATCTTCTTGTTTCACAGCAGATGGATTTTTACGTTATGACAAAATTACTTTTTGTCATACCTGCCAACCCTCCCGTTTTGAGCAGGAGACTCCCGCTCAAACTGCGAAATTCCAGAAATCTCCCACTTGCTGGTCTACTCCCGTGCGGGAGTATAAAATCTCCCGCTTTCGGATATTTTAATCTGGAATGACCCGCATTTGTAATTCTCTGGCTTTTTCATTACTGTCAATAGAAATAAATAAACAATCGGCGATCATTTGAAAACTTTGGTCAGTAGTTTTTATGTTCGATTTATAAGTAATCGAAATTCATTTCTGCTATGTCAACTCCAACAAGATAGAGATCTTTGTTTGGACCAATCGGCAGTGTAAAAAAGAAGAAATTGATAACTGCAAATCGAAATACCAAGCAGACTGAATGAAAGATTTTTTATTTTTACGACCAAGTTCACTGACACTTGGCAATGAATCTTCATTTTGCACATCATGTTCAATCAACTTTTCGGTCTCTTCTGGTGGTCTGTACGACGTTTGAAAGCATGCTTAGTGTGGGTCTCACAACAAAATCAAAATATGGAATGTTATGAGTTATGAGACTCAGAGGTATTGAAAAAGACAAAAAAAAACAAAAAAAAAACCACACCTTGTATAGATTATAACCATGAATTGAAGAAATAAAGTGCATCTTTTAACTCTTATTGGTGTTTAGTAGATGAATAAATAAACTAGTCTCATATTTAACTTAAAAATGTCATTCACGCAAAATCACCCCCTCAGCTGTTTGAAGGTTTCAGAGGTTGGCAGGTATGCTTTTTGTTAAGTAATATTCTTTCTCAAAACAAACTTCTATCAACACAATTAATGCATATATACATATGTTAAGAACAATATTAAAAAGTGTGGCCAATTCAACTATGGCAGAAGACTGTGGCTGAACTGGTAATGTGGCCAAAACATCTCGAAATGTCCTAAATAATTCACCTGCACAAGTTAATAAAAGAACACTTGTATAATTTTACCCCTGACTACTGGATTTGAAGCAGATAACGTTAAAATTGTGTGATCCTTTATTCTTTATTTGACATCATAAATGAGGCAATTAATGGTTAGTGACTGTACACAAATGATTATACAGTCAATGCAATGCACCTTCTCACTATAAGTCCGCCATTGCTGGCCATCACAGACATTTCGGTAAAACTTTGACATCTGAAAGAATGCTAAAATGATTGTTGTAGGATGTTAATTGTTCAAGTGTAGCAAAATTTTGGGTCAAGTGTTGTAACGTTAAAATTGTGTGATCCTTTATTCTTTATTTGACATCATAAATGAGGCAATTAATGGTTAGTGACTGTACACAAATGATTATACAGTCAATGCAATGCACCTTCTCACTATAAGTCCGCCATTGCTGGCCATCACAGACATTTCGGTAAAACTTTGACATCTGAAAGAATGCTAAAATGATTGTTGTAGGATGTTAATTGTTCAAGTGTAGCAAAATTTTGGGTCAAGTGTTGTAGATTTGTGTCTATTTGACTGAGCAAATAGCACAGTTGCAGTATAAAGGCACAGTGACCACAGGCACTTGTTTCTATCCATAGGAAGGTCGACTATCCATATATAATATATAGAAACAAGTGCCTGCAACAGTAACCTGCAGTGATCCCTACTCAGGCTACTGTATTTATACTTGCACTTGTTTCTATCAATGGGATGGTCAACTTTTACTGTTCAATATTGTACATTGACCTTCAGATTGATAGAAACAAGTGCCTGTGTGTATTTCTACAGGACTGAGAATACCAAAAGGGGTTGTTTAGCCGATATTATCCTCTACTGTCATCGTGACATTATTTCTTTACGAGTAACACCGCGTATATCGTTTGTCTGTCTTTGAATACTATGTTTTTGTATCTTAACAATTGCTATAAACAATTAATCTGTCTATTTACCTGTTCCTCTTTTGTTTTACCTTGCTTGGTTTCAGTTTCGTTTTTCAATAAATCGATACGCGGGAAAGGTGTAAATGAAAACGCTATTAAAGGGAGATAACGCATAAATTGTATATCCTCTGTCATGTCCGATCATGTCCGTCTGTCCGTCACAATTTTGGTTTCAAGATGATAAAGAGAGAACTGCTTATTAAAATTAATTGAAATTTAAATGGAATGTTTTGGACAAAAAAGTGGTTTTTGATCATTAAAACTAGGACTGGTTAAGGAAATAGCCTTTTGTTACTTCAATGCTAAACATATGGAAATGTTTTAGAAATTCCACAGCCTCTTAATTGCTCTTTTATTTGATAATTATGTACCTAATATATAGGAGATTACTGTATACAGTGCTAGCAATGATTTCCCATAAAAAGAAGTTTTTAAATAAAGATATTAATTAAAACAATTACAAATATGGACCTATATAACTGATCCAAGTCTGAGCCTTACTATAATAAATATTAGTGTTATAATAATCTCAGTTCAAGTACACCTTCTAGACCTGGGACTATTATACTAACGGGACTGGAAACTGATCGATCTGTTGAGATTTCATTGCCCCGATAGCGGATTATTGATTTTTTGTTTTGATTGACAGCTTATCGTGCCACCTGGTTAGTATATATAGTCCCAGTTCTAGACGCACCACTCGACTTTGGTGCCTCAGCACGATTTTTTTTTTTTTTTATCATGTAAAGGTTTTTGGGACGTTTTGTAAACAATAAACACTAGCCCAAAATGGACAACCAAGTGAGTAATTTGTCATAAACTTTAAAATGTTATAACAAAATTCTGTAATAAAAGTTTATGATTGTTTTGTAAAAATCTTGGTTTGATTTGCCACAAAATCCCAATTTTCTATTAAATGCAACGAAAAAATAAATAGTGTTGCTGTGAACAACTTTTCCCTTTGGTATATGTATAAAATGGAATGTCTCTTTTATCTGGGACTATTATACTATATATATTAGTATAATAGTCCCAGCTTTTATTCAGTATTTTTTCTGTTTTTATATTACTTTGAAAATTTCGTAATACAGATGATAAATATAGAACCACTTTTTAAATTACTTGAAATTTTGATGGAATTTTTTTGGACCACTAAAGACAGGTTTAGTTTGTTGTTCGCCACTTTTATTGTTCCAGAGTAATGACACTTGATTTTTGGAAAAATCAAAAAATGACACAATTTAGGACAAGTTATGTTCGATTTTTGTCGATGTCACTTTTACAATTCCAGAGTTATGGCACTTGATTGTTGGGGAAATTTCTAAAATTTGTGGCTTCCAGATGATAAACAGAGAAACCTCTTTTGAAATCAATTGAAATTTTAATGGAATGTTTTTGGACACCTAAAGACAGATGAAGTTTGATTTTCGTCGTTTTCACATCTACCGTTTCAGAGTTATGATCAGTTATGGTACTTGATAGTTTGAAAATTTTGTGGTTTCTAGAAGAACCTTTATTCAATTTGATTGAAATTTTAATGGAAAGTTTTGGACCACTAAACAAATTCATGATCTGTCAGTTGCTGCGGGCGGGGCCATACTGTATATTAATCTATGATCACTAGATCGCCATATCTATAGTTATATAATGTCATTCATTGATGGGGTTAATATTCCCTCTATTTGCTGTTCATAAAAGGTAACAGACTCTTTCGAAACAATCCGTGAGGGGTATTCCAGGCATTTTTTGCCTAATCTAATAGGTTTGGAATTTATGATTATAAATTCTCTTCAACTTAGTAGTAGTTTTTATTCTTTGGCCGTTTGAATTCGATGACATACACAAAGAGGTTATGAAGAAGTTTCAAACAAATTTTAATGTAACTTATGATAATTCTTTATTAGCCTTGAAAAATCAAAATATTGATATTTTAGAAGGCACTGGTGTTGATATAGCTCGTCTCTGGTAAAGCTTAAGAATTTTAGAAATATTTTATTTGAGGTCGCAAATGATATGCTTGCACCTTTTAAAGTAAGACAAATAGGTGCCATATATGAATAAAGAATTTATAAGAGCCATTTATAAAGAAGAAACAGATTTTTAATAAGTTTCAGCAGGTAAAAATGAATTTTAATAGAAGCTAGGAGTATACAGGTCTCAGAGAAGCTAAAAAATATTAAAAAAATGTTATTTTATTGAAAATTATTACATTGTTTGGGCAATAAACGGCTAATTTGGATTTGTATTATACATTAGACCATTTTTCAACCAACAAAAAACACAAAAAAACACACCATTCTTTCGGAAATATTTTATTGATTACACAACAGGACAAAGTTTGTGACATTTTTAATATTTTTTGTATGAATGCAACTTTGGCAATAAGGGAATCACGCGAATTCAAATAATTTTTAAGATTTTGCTAATATCTGTTCTCTTTTTCACACAATGACGACACATTATAGTCAGCCAAATTAATATACAGAAGACCGTTGGTATCGACAGATTTTCTCCTAAACGTTTACATTTTGCAAAACCTTTTATTACAAAGCCTTTTACAAAATATGTCAATTTATCTTTATCGTCATCACTTTTCCAGATAAATGAAAGGAAGCAAAAGTAGCCCCATTAAACTAGTACTTATAAAAAGGCAATTACAGGCCAGTTAGTGTAGTACCAGCTATCAAAAAAGGCAATTACAGGCCTGTAAGTGTAGTACCAGCTATCTAAAAAGTCAATTACAGTATAAATAAGAAGATGTGGTATGAGTGCCAATGAGACAACTCTCCATCCAAGTCACAATGTATAAAAAGTTACAGGCCAGAAAGTGTAGTACCAGCTATCTAAAAAGGCAATTGCAGGCCAGTAAGTGTAGTACCAGCTATCTAAATAGGCAATTACAGGGTATTAAGTGTAGTACCAGCTATCTAAAAAGGCAACTACAGGTCAGTAAGTGTAGTATACCAGCTATCTAAAAAGGCAATTACAGGTCAGTAAGTGTAGTACCAGCTATCTAAAAACAAATGCAAATGTCATTGAAACAGTTTGTTGATTATTTCGATAATATCTTAAATCCATTTTTTGCATCGCTTCAGTCATGTTTTGAATGCCAACCAATCCTTTTTAGAGTGATTGAAGATTAGAAAAAAAGTTAAACGAATTCTAATGGATCTATCCAAGGCCTTTGGTTGCCTTCCAAATTATCTACTTTTATTGAAACTTGGAGCACATGGCTTATCTCAGTCAACCTTGATATGTTAAATATTATTACTTTTCAAAAGGAAACAGTGTGTTAAAATTTGTCAAAACATAAGCAATTTGTTAGATATATTTGGAGATGTGCATCAGCGATACATTATTGGCCCTAAATTGTTTAATGTCTTCATCACTGATGTATTTATGTTTGTACATAAGTATGATTTATATAATTATGCAGATGATAATTTCTTATCAAAATCAGACAAGTCTTTCGAGAAAAGGTTATAAATTTTTTGCCAGAATACAGATATTCCATAATTTATTGGTTTTCTGTAAATAAACTGCATGCTTATCCTGAAAATTGCTAGCCATTTCAGTTGATACAAAAACTCATGACAAGATATTAATTTTAATGGTATAGATATTACTTTTGATGATGAAGTTAATTTGTTGGTAAGCACCATAGACTTTGATTTAACTTTATTATATATACATATAACAAATGTCTGTAAAGTTAAAATGACACAAGGCAATTGAATGTTCTGAAGCGGATAAGAAACATTTGAACCGTCTTGGAAAACTAACCAGTTATCATTCTTTTTTATATATGGTTATTGTCCGCTTACTTGCTATTCTTGTCGGGAACAAAATACTAAGAAAACTGAGAAAATACAGGAACGGGCACTTCGTTTTGTTTATCAAGACCTCGAAACCTTTTACAAAAAATTACAAGAATGATCAAAATTACCGTCACTTAAACCCAGAAGAATGAGAACAATTATCTTGGAAACATTTATAATCATAAATAAGAAAATGCCTGTACTTTTGCAAAGTGTACTGATTTTATTGAGAGAAAAATGATTCGTATAAGTTTTGGTATTCGACCTGTGTAGATTTACCAGGACTCAGAACTACAAAGAATGATTAGAATTCTTTCAGTTATGAGACAGCGCGACTTCGGAATTCAGTGCCGAATGAGGCCGAATGAGGCGAGACATATATTATCGTTTTATCAGTTAAAAATAACATATCAATCTTGTGTGGTGGCCAAAATTGATTCTGCAGTACCAGAAACTCCTAGACTCTTCTGTCTGATGTCTGATGGCTGAATTATATCTCATTACTGCTTATGTGACTCTGTTTTATCTAAATTGTATGCTTATGTATGCTTTTTTATTTGATGCTTGTGTGAGATTATTTTATTTGATGATTATTTGTGCTAATATTTTTATGGTTATGTGTACTTGTCTTAGGTGAAACTTTGCTAATTTTGATGTTTTGTATTATATGTTATAGTCGGTTCCTAAGATTTTGTTTATTATTAATTCTGTATATGTGCCGACCCTTATTAATATTTATTAACTTACCAACTTACTTCAAGGTTTGTAAAAAAGAGACGGAAGATATCAAAGGAGGAATAAAAAAAATAGACGAAGAGAGACCGACAAAATCATGACAAAAAAAAAAGAAAGACGACGAAAAGACAAACAACTTTTTACAAAACACTACATAAAAAACTTAAGACCGAGCAACAAGAACCCTACAAAAAGCCTGTTTGTTACATGAACTCGATTATATTAGTTTTCGAACAATTTGATTTGTACTTATGTATGTTGTGGTGCGTTGTTACTTGGAAAAAATCTACATATATTTTATTACTGCACCTGGAAGATTCACGAGAACAACATTAAAAAGTAAAACAAGGAATCTACATTTTGTTTTGAATTGAAGAAACTATAACTCTGATTCTAATTAGGAGGTATTCTTAAAATTAATTTCATACTTTATAGCTCAATTTCAAGTGTTCTTCATAAAACATCTTTAAAGCATTTTGTTTTTTCATAGGAATTATGTCTAATCTAACCAACCTTTAAGCTTATTTGTATAGATTCTTCCTATAAAAGTGCAAAATCTTCATAAATAAAACTGAATGCTCTTTTCTTGAATTCTTTTACACAATTTTACATGAAGTTGTTGCAGTCCCTACATTTAAACTTTTGGTCCCACTAGACAATAGAACCAGACATAGAAATCCACACTCATATAGGTAAATACAAGCATCTTAAGACAGCTATAAATATTCATTGTATCCGAATACAGTTATAAATTAGAATCAATTGCCACAACAAATAGTTTCATGCAGTACAGTACAGAGTTTAAAGAGTAAAATACCAGAATCTGCTATAATCCATATTTTATACCCTTAATTTTTATGGTTATCAAATGTATATAGTTTTATCTAAATGTTATTTTTCAAATGTACATATATTATTTTGATTTTCGATTTGGTTTTGTTTTTTGTTGTTTATCTTGTAAATTACAAATCAAATTATATAGTCGACGCCCGGCGAACAATCTTCAATAAATAAAGGATCGCTAGAAACTGAAAAAAGAACTGAGAAGAAGAATGCGTTTTTACAACAAAGATATTAGGTTACAGGATGAAAAATTGAAATATGAGTGTATTGATTGATTAAAATATTGGGAATAAAAAAAAATATCCAGTTCAATTTTATATTTTTCGGTTTTTAAAGCAGTTAGCTAGCAGCTGTCCATATGCTTTTCACATTTTTAACTTTATGAGTAGAAGCATTGTGGTAGACTTTGGCTTAGTAATATTAAGGGTACATTCATGCATGCGTGGCTCTTAGTGTTCATGGCATAGCACAAAAAAGAGGTAGGATCAATATTTCCTGAATGTATTTCCCCTTAAAGTTTTCCAATCTGTACTAAATTCACAGTATCCGATGCTGCAATCTTTGGCGAATTTCTGAACATTTCACCAAATAATATAAATGTCGGAAGGTGGAAGAAAACTGCCAATTGGACGGATTGTACAAAACTTCGACTTGTTTTTCACCAACGGTAAAATTATATCTTATGTAAAGCAGTTAGTGTCTTTTATATACAAATTATCTCATTTTGATTAACGATGTCCTTCGGGTGAAAAGTTTTACAAAAATGTGTAAAAAAAAACTGTAGATACACGATGTTGATCGATGGCCACTGGCTTTTTCATAGATGTCTCATTGATGTTTATTGGTGACATTGGCTGTTTCAGAGATGTCTCAATGATGTTTATTGTGACCACTTGATATTTAAAGATGTTTCAATAATGTTTATAGGTGATTACTGGATTTTTATATATGTCTCAATGATGATTAACGGTGACCACTGCATGGGTTTAATTGATGTTTATTGGTTACAGCTGGCTGTTTCATAGATGTCTCATACAAAGTTACTAAAGATACCACTGCTTGTTTCATAGCTGTTTTATTGAATTTAAACGGTTACAACTGTATGTTTTATATATATTACAATGATTTTTCATTGATTGGCGACCACTGAATGTTTCATTGATGTCTGATTGGTGTTTATTGGTGACCATTGAATGTTTCAGTGATGTCTGATTGATGTCTATTGGTGATCACTGCATGTTTTATTGATGTCTGATTGATGGCAATTGGTGATCACTGAATGTTTCATTGATGTCTGATTGATGTCTATTGGTGATCACTGAAACAATGTCTGATTGATGTCTATTGGTGATCACTGAAACAATGTCTGATTGATGTCTATTGGTGATCACTGAAACAATGTCTGATTGATGTCTATTGGTGATTATAGAATGTTGCATACATGACTGTGTCATTGATGTGTTTTGGTGATCACTAAAATGTTTAATTTTTTTTTCTCATTGGTTGGTTTTGGGGACCAATCGACGTTTCATTGATGTGTCATTGATTTTTACACTAAAGATGTCATCTATGTCCTATATAAATAGTATTAACAAAATTGAGAATGGGAACGGGGAATGTGTCAAAGAGACAACAACTCGACCAAAGAGCAGAAAACAGCTCAAGGCTCAAGTTAAGTATAAATAAAATGATGATTGAGAGGTAAACATCAATGAGATAGCAATCAAACACAAATAACAAACAGAATCTAAGGGTTAATTGTGAAAATGGTTTATATCTTGTAGACAAAGACGAATTAAATCTTCAATTCTCCATTAACGGCCACCACTTCCTCTTTGTCTATATCGTTTTTCTGAAATGTCTGTTATTCAACCTCGCTATCAACTTCTCTGTTCTTTTGTAATCTCTGTTCCTCTAATTTCATAACCCAAGAATCACAAAACAATGCTAAAGCCCCGATAATCATCCCAACACCAATAACGTAAAATGTAACATTGTAAGATCCTGTACTATCTCGTATATAACCTAAAACAAGTATTAAATATATACAAATTAATGATAATTTATGACACAACACCCCTTTTCTCCTCTCACATAATCGGCATACGTTTGGCAAGTCTTATAGAAATCCGACCCGTAAAACGATCCAGAAAACGGGAAACTAAAGTATAATACAATGACACATGGTGAAAATATAGCAGCTGTATATCTGATGCAACGTGGTGTTTTCCCCTTGACTGCTTATATACAAATATGTGGCATTCATGTCTGCGAGAAGGCGGGGACATTTTTTTTTATCAAAAAGCCGTTCCATCAGTATATATGTGCGAAGGAATTCAAAACCCACACATTTGCATTTGTTGTCTTGTATGTATTTCTTGAATATTTAAAAAAATATATATAAACTCTGTTGGTGGAGCAATTAAAAAAAAAGTTGTAGGACATGAGTGTTCTTTCACTTTGTGTTTACGATTTTCACTGCTTCCACGTTCGGTTATACCATTTTCGATGGTTTACTGCTTAAAATATAATTTCAAAGGTCTTTTCCTACATTTTTTTTCTTGTTTATTTCTTATTTAATTGAACGGTAGGGTTTTTGACTGAATATAACAAAGTTATAACTGAGTCAAAAGGAGTTTCGAATATTAGTTAATGAATAATCCCATAACGAGGAAATAATTAAAACATACCCATTAATGGTGCCATGATCGATATTGATATGCCATGAACAAGGATCAGTAAAGAAAGTGCAGAGGGTAAATTCTCGGCTCCAACGCTGTCTACCAATAATAAAGGAACAAATGGAAAATAAACAGAACCGAACAGTCCGTTTACGACGCAGAAAATGGCAAAACTGGTAAAATTAGTAAAGAAAGTGTTGAACATAGTGACAGTGCCAGTTATTAATAATGTAATTCCCAAAATATACGTTCTTTTGATTCTCTTAGAATCTGCAATCCAAGCAATTGAAAATCTAGCTACAACATCACATGCTCCAAAGATCATAACAAGGAGAGCTATTTCTTCGTCTGAATTGTTGTTTTCGCGAGCAAACGGAGGAATGTATGTAATGGTCAAGCCACAACTGAAAATACAAAAGTATGCTACAAATAATACGAGTTGAAGTTTATGGTTTTTTAAAAGTTTGAAGTCAATCAAACTTGTCAATGATGTCTTTGTACAACATGTTGATTTTGACTGTGAACAACTAGAGACACCAACTTTCTCATTTATACTTAAGTTTTGTATAGAACATGAAATGCTTCCCGTACTGGTACATAAGTCCAATGAGCTTCGACACATTTCCTTGTCTTTCTTTTCATTGTAAGATAATCCGGAAGTCTCTTTCAGTTGCTTTAAGGTGTCATCTACTTTGTCGTTTAAAAGTTGTGGACTTTCCTCCTCAAAGGAAGAAGATATATTTTGATTTGGTCGGGAACAAACACTCCTGACATCCTTATTTGAACGTTTACCATGATGTACTGTTTTTGGATTTGCCGACTCACTGAACTCGGCATATCTCTTTGGATATTTTAGAAGTTCTTCCTTCTCAATATTTCCTTGTATCGATCCGGCAGTCTCGACCGACGGTGGCAATGGGCGCAACAGCATTGCAACAATCAAATTGTGAAACAGAATCCCTGATACAAAAATCAAGGCACCTTGAAGTCCATACACATCTATTAGCACCTGTATTATCTTGGGAAATACCAAACTGCCAATGCTTGCTCCTACATTTGAAATACTGTTTGCAAAGCCACGCCTTTTTTCGAAATATGAAGACAGAACAACTAGACCAGGGCCTAAAGTTAGTGCGCAACCACCACCTAAAATATCATATTTAGATTATTTCAACAACAAAAAATAGCATTACTTTGAGAAATCATTACTGTTTATTAGATATTAATACTACTTGGTCATGGTCAGTTGTATATCTTAAACTATGAGGTTCGAATATGGGTTAATTTTCTTTAAAGAGAAATTTTCTTGAGAATTTCCTCACCGGTTGTGACCAAATATGTCTGCAAGGTGCCTTGTGTTGTCGACTGAGATAAGTATATTTGAAAATAAGATTGTTTCTCAAAATGTCCATAATAACTACGATATTTTTAACAGTTGAACAATTACCGGTATTAGATTATATAATCGTCTTGATTGCTGAGGTCCTTTTTTTTCCCCATGTTATTGTCCAAATAACGTCCCTTCTAGTTTAACTTCGTGACTTAAATTTCAAGTGTTTGTTTATTTTGTTTTCATGAACTTCTATCGTCTAAGATTCGTACAGAAAAAGAATATTGGCGGCGTATTCCTATGACCTTTACAGCCAATAAAAAAATTAATTGGGGTTTGAACGTGGGAAATTGGAATGAAAACAAATTATTTATCACAAAACTCATCTAAAGTGCTCGGCTTCGTTTGTTGTATTAAGAGGGAAATAATGACAGTATTTGTTATAAGTGTTAACTTAAGGTTTTTTTTTGTCATTATTTGTTTTCATTATTATTTAGTATACTGTTTTCTTGTGAGCTTATAAGCAATAGCGTCCTTGAAGGTAACGGTGACAATTGTCTTGGCAATAACAAATAACTTACCAAACAGAACACTTTGCGACAGAATCAGAAATGCTACGTCTGGTGCAAAAGCATTCAGTAGATATCCAGCAGATACAAAAATAGAACCAATCATAACTAACTTTCGTGGGCCAAGTAATTTTGTTCCCGAAGAAAGTATGAACAACGCTGAAAATATTCAATTTAACATGTCTTAATAATACCATAGTATGTAGGTTTTAAAGATGTTATTGCTTACACTTTTCGGAGATTAGCAAACTACAATTGTTTGAACTGAAGTAAGTTTTGACACTGCCTCTAGGCAAAAAGTCAAACACTTCGATTCTTCATACTGAAATTGCCACATTTTTTAAAAACAATATAGAAATGGTTAATAGTATATACTAAACAATCTTATCAATGAGATCAACGAACCTTCAGAAGCATAAGCTGCTAAATTATTGAATGCTTTATTACAATACTTGTATATTTCTGTATAGTATGGTTTATCGATCTATCAACACATCATTTCGATCAAAGGCGCTTTGTGTATCTTCATTTTTTGTGTTACGTATATTTTCAGATATATTTCCTTTAATAATGCAGCTTATTTTTCTTCATTTCACGTGTTTTTGTTCTTCTCTTAGGATGAACTCTGTAACATATTTCTCGCCATGATGAAGAGCTATGTGTCGTATTACTGAAATATATGATACTATAAATATTTTTTGGTCTAATCCTTCAATGCGATATCAAATTGCGGCATTTCCATTGGCTGTTCTTTAGGGAATGACGATTTGGACTACTTTTTCTCAGTGGCAACGGTTTTACTTACTTCCTGTTTTCGTGATGTCGTCTACATTATCATTTAATTTTATACGATCCATCATGGACAAGGAAATAAAAAAAAAACAGTTGATAACGAGTAACACCAAAAGATGTCACACAAAAAGATTTCTTACCAAAAGAGAAATAACAGCTCGTTGGACTTGGATATCGCTTGGTATAAACTCTAGTTATTTCAATAATAACAATAAATTCACCTAAAGGCTCATTTATATTAAATAACTCGCACTGATGCCAAGCGATATCCTCAATCACAAGCTTAGTGGACGTACGGCACATATAAACTACTGTCTTGTTATAATAAGAACATGTTAAATAAAGGAAAATAAGTTGTAATATTAGTAACACAGAAAATAAGAACAAACGTTGAGGTCCTTGTCCCCAAGTTGCTTAGATCATTAGAATTATATAGCCAACTAAAACTAGCATTGTTTACAAAATATAATATTGTTTATATGGTAATCAATGAAATAATCGGGGGGAAATGGATGCTTTGTAATCAGTGAAACATGGTTTTGTTCCAAAAAAAAAAATTCTGGACTCAAAATGATAAAGATTGCTTATCAGTAGATTAAAACAACTAATTATTTTACAGTAATAACCTGTGATATTATTTGACAGTATTGGAGTTTTTTAATCTCGTTGCCAGTCTACTTTTTAAGTAAAATTGATTTTTCTTCTTGAACTTAACTGGAAAAAGAGTGTACAATAAAATGCCCCGCAAGGCGCAGCTTGATACGACCGCAGAGGTCGAACCCTGAACAGTTGGGGCAAGTATTTGGACACAACATTCAAGCTTGATACAGCTCTGAATTTGGATTGTGATAAAATATTTGACACAGCATAGGTTTCTGACACAGAATGAATGTGGTCTAAAAACCTAAAAATTTGAAATTGGATGTTTACCTATTATGGTCCAATATCCAAAATCTAAAATAAATGGTTAGATTCAGCATTCACAGAACACCAAGAATTCTATTTTTGATGAAATCAAACAAAGTTTAATTTTGGGCCCTTTGGACCAAAATGTGAACCAATTTGATAACGGGCCCAAAATCCTAAATCTAAATACACGGTTATATTCAGCATATAATAGAACCCCATTATCAATTTTGTTGAAATCAAACAAAGTTTAATTTTGGACCCTTTGGACCTTAATGTAGACCAATTAAAAACAGGTAAAAAAAATCCAATATCTAAATACCCGGGTATATTCAGCATATTAAAGAACCACTAGAATTTAAGACTTTGAATAAAACCCCATTGAAATTGGTCAAGAAATCAGCAATTTATACAAAGAATTAGAAGAAAAGTATTGTTTTTAACTCTTTTTGGTCAGAACCATAATCCCCAAAACCAATCCCAACATTCCTTTGTGGTATGGAATCTTGTGGTACGATTTCATAGAAATCCATACACTGATACTCAAGTTATTGTCTGGAAACCAAATGTCTTCTGACAAGTCTAATTCGGTATGTCACATTAGAGGGAAAGGAAAAGAGGATATATTGTGGTTACGGCAATTGGAAAATATTTGTTGTCATCAGTGTAACAGATATTCCATAACGGTCAATCAACTGATGGCGTCCGTAAAATTTTCGAAGGGATGATTTTAACCACTTCGAAATCTTGATTTAAAAGCTTCCTTGTAAGCATCAACCATCTAACAAAGAAATTATTATAGGAAATGCAAGCTCTTGAATATCGTATCAACTGGGAGATATATACTCCGTATGCAGGCGCTGCTGGAAAGTTCAGTGTAGATTTCCTAGATTCAGATCTGTTGAAACTTGTGTTATGAAATTGGTTATGTTAAAAAAAGAACAAATCAATAGTATATATATACTCATATATTGTTTTGTGTCAATTCACATTTTCAAAACCTACTAGCTGCCAGGAAGAAAACACATCCATAAACTAAACAGGTCAAACAGTTTTACGCATTTTAACAGCAAAATCCTTCTTATTAAATAACTTTAGAATTATAATTTACAAACCACTATTCAGTATTAAATGTTTTAAAAACTTCTTGACTTTCAAAAGAATTGTTAAATTTTGTTGTTGTTATTGTTGTTGTTGTTGTTGTTGTTGTTGTTGTTGTTGTTGTTGTTGTTGTTATCTCATACCATCAAAAGTCTACCGGTAAGGGTAAGCGGAAGCAAACCGACAGAATACCTATTTGGTCTTAATCTTCTAATAACTTTTTAGATAAGACTGAGGAAATATAGGCATAGAAACACTTTTAACTTGTGAGTTTTTTTGTATTTTAAAACAAATAACTTACACGAAAGGCTGAACATTGCCGTCTGCAAAGCTATAACTCCTGATATCAGCGAAGCGCTTGTCTTGTAAACAATTATAAATTGGATAAAGAATAGTCCGAAAGATTTTGATATACCAACATTAAGGAATAGCTGTAAGAATATGGCTGCAAATAAAATATCAACAGTGAAAAAATGAATATTGTGTAAATTTGTTACAGTTTTCTAAAAATTCTCGTAATTTGTTCTCGTCGTGAATATGCCTTATATATTGAAAATAGTCGTTAAGCAAACAATGATAACCAATCAATCTAAAGAGTTACACAAGATACCGAAAAACATCACTAGTGTGAACATCACAGAAAATGCCTTTGTTAGTTAATCCTAGGGTTCATGGCGTATAATAGAATATAACGAGTGTGTAAAAAATAAGAAGAATTCCCAAGGAACCTCTTGATATCTTTTGGTTTTCTCATGTGTGTGTTTTTTGTTGTTGTTGCTGTCTTATTTACATATACTACAAATTTCATTGAATTCAAAATCAAGAACCCCTTTTTAGCTAAAAGCGTTTACACTCCTATAGAGTTACTTTTTTTAATTTTCAGTTTTAGATTGGTATTTGATTTGTGAGCAAACTTACCACACATAACCACCCATGCCCAACCTCGGTCTACTGGTCGTTGATACTCAGTCTTTGTGACGACAGTCATTTTCATCTAAAGAAAAAATAAAGGTATAGGAGATAAAAAGTCTTCATATTTTGCACACTATCTCCGCCTTCTAAACAAAGCTTGTTAAAATGCAAACAGCTCGATTAAAACAGAATTCACAGCTAGATTTAAAACCACCTGGTCAGGGAAGGGTTTGGCGCCCGCAAACATGTTTAAATATTCTACATTCTATTTGTGTCTGTCCATAGTCTGAAGCCTGTAATTCAGTGGTTGTCGTTTGTTGCTGTATATCATATTTGTTTTTCGTTTATTGTTTCTTACATAAATCAGGCCGTTAGTTCTCTCGTTTGATTTTTTTTTTACATTTTTCACGTCTGGGCCTTTTATAGATTGCTATGCGGTATAGGTTTTGCTCATTGTTGAAGGCCTTGTACGGTTATCTATATTGCCTAACTTCTTCGTCATTTGGTCCCTAATGGAATGTTGTCTCATTGGCAATCATACCACATCTTCTTACTTTTATACACGTAGATAAAGCTATGAAAAATACATTTTTTTAAATGTAGCTGCGAAATGTTTCAAGTTTTTATGCCTCTTGTAAAACAAAACAAAAAGGATACACACAGCACCTGTTTCACGATTAGCGCTGATTATTGAAAGTGAGGAAAGCCAAAACAATAATGTGTTGGAAGGTATAAAAACTAAAAGGAAGGTGTAAAAGACAATACAGAGATACGAGATACAGCAATACAAGATAAGAGATACGAGATACAAGATAAGAGATACATGAAATAAAATATCTGTGAAATATACTAAAATTTATATCATGATTAATTAAATCGAATTCTCAATTAAGCATGGCAGCAAACGTCATTTAAAGCAGTCGTGTACTAAAGGATTGAATTGTGGAGTGGAGTTGTGGGTTTACATTTTATAATATGATAAGTAAACAAATTTTCAATATACAGTTTTATACAGTCTAAAAACATTGAATCACCTTATATCCATGTATGTCTAGTACAACTTCTTACTTCATTCTTTGATTATGATATGATTTTGATAATACATGTACATGTACTTTGTACCAATATTATAACTAACTTAAGGTGATACGTGTATCTCCAAACATGCAAAATTGAGGTCACATACACGTATTTGTAGGTGCTTTGAAATAGTGTACAGGTTATAACTTTTTACTTGAAAACCGTAAGATGGTGCCAAAGGAACATGACCATCCAAAAAAGGAAAATTAACAATAGGGAACGAAAAATCGTCCCTTTTGTCGTAAATTTTAGTGTGGAGTTTCCCGTGTAAAACTGAAATATCTAAATCTAGGAAAGGACAGTTATTACCGTTTACATTTGATTTATTTAAAGTAAGTTCCTTTGAGTAAATTTCGGCAGTATATTTAGAAAATTCTTGATTATTTAACGAAAAATATCATCAAGATAACGGTAAGTGTTGTTGAAATTTATCAATTAAATGTTATTTAGACGGGTATTTATTGAGTTTGGTCATAAACTGTGATTCATAACAGTACAAAAACAAGTCTGCTATTAATATCATCAAGATAACGGTAAGTGTTGTGGAAATTTATCAATTAAATGCAATTTAGACGGGTATTTACTGAGTTTGGTCATAAACTGTGATTCATAACAGTACAAAAACAAGTCTGCTATTAAAGGGGCGCAATTAGTGCCCATAGGAATACCTACAACTTGTCGATAAACTTTGTTGCCGAAAAGTACATAAATATTATCAAGGAGAAAATTAACAGCTTCAATCATCTCTTCACACCTTCAGTAAGTATATTTAGCATATTTACCTTTCTCATTAGAGAAGAAGGCTTTAAATGAGTAGCAACAAATATATTTGCATTCAGATTTACCAAACGACCATGTAATCAAATAGAAACTTTTGTTTGATAAGATTGTGTGGAAGTGTAGTGTAAAGAGTTGAAAAGTCAAAACTGTCAACAGAATCAAAAGGACCACCAAAAGCACGTAATTCATCTAAAACATCCAAAGATTTTTTTACACTCCAAAAATAGTTAATTCCACTATTTTCATATATTTCATTACAAAAGTTAATGATAAGTTATTTGATAGTAGTTAAGGAACTAGTTAAAAGCACTGAAAGATTAGTTGTAGAACACTTACTAGAGGCCGAGATGAAACGATATTTTACTGTTTTTTGTGTAGTTTAGGTAACCAATACATAGTAGGGACCTTCAAATGTTCAGGAGATGCCTTAAGCTGTGATGTGGTTATTATGTGTTTGTTTACTATATGACTCTCTGTGAAGCGTACGGACTTGAATGTAGATGAATTAAATCTTAAATTCTTAAGAACGTCCGTGCACATGTAGTATTTACGGCATACCACCACCATATTGTTGGCTGCTTTGTCGGCCGGTACAAACACAAACCGCTTTGAAAGTTCTTGAAGTTTATTTCTTATTTTAGAAATAGGCGTATTATGTTCTCTTTAATTTATTGCTGACATTTATATTACCTTTTCTGAAAATGAAAAGGCAGTCACTAAAGTGCAATAATAAGAATATTTCACAAAAACAAGAATTAGATGAAATTCCTCTTTCCGATTTAAAAGCTCTTCAGAGCTTATGTTTGTACTGGTATTTGCATATACCAACTTTAGATAAAGCTTTATGTCTTATGTCTTATGTCTATGTCTTCTGAGCAGTATTATGTGTCATTTTAACTCCAGCAGATGACATACATATGTGGTCGCTTTCAATTAGAACAATAAGATAAAGGTGAACAACTCACTTTTTACAGGGTAAAATATTTAGTGTGTGTCCTATGAAGTTGAGAAAATTAATATATTAATCTATGATGAAATAGTCTATATTTAACAAGCTGGTACATGTATCTGTTTTTAATAAATATCGAACTGTAAAAATTTATTTGGTATGACCATGGAAGTAATTTCACAGGCCAATAACTTCAAGTAAAGTGAAAGTATTATCTGCAGCTATTATTTTACAGTGATTCTAATGCTTGTGTTTAAATTGGTTTTGACAAATTTATCTAAAGTTCCCAGAGGTGATATTTGATATAGCAATTAAAATTCAAACTTTTTTCTCATGTTTATCTGTCTTAATTACTTGATTTGATTTCATATTACATTTTATTGTATCTCATATCCTGTATCTCGTATCTTGTATTGCTGTATCTCGTATCTCTGTATTGCCTTTTACACCTTTCCAATACTAAACGGGTTTACATAAACAGCCAAAATTCGGTCACAGTGACATTCAACATAACCTGAGAAAGTTTAAATGATAAGTATTAATACAGTTGGTTCCAAGGAATTCAAACTGCATGCGTGATTTTAAAATCTAGTGTGTAGGTTTTTTTTTTTATCTAGTTGCCTTTTAATTTGAAATGTGTATTTAAAGACGAATAGAACTGTTAATGATAAGTTGGGTCATGGTCCAACTTTACACGATGTATTTGTGTTTTATGATTTGAGCCTTCATATCTACTAGCAATGGAATACCTTTGGCGACAGAGGCTGGCACAGTTTTGGTTTGTCTTCGTCGGAAACAGAAAAAGACAACGCATCTATTTTTGTTATGGCTTACTTTTAAAATTATCTGCTTTATGAAAGATCAAAAGAAGAGACACAAACAAAACATTGTACCGATAATAATGATATATCACTAACGCAGGAATTAATTAAGTTACAAGATACATTCTATTTGACATGTAGACTAACGTTTTCAGTTTTCTGCAGATTCACACCATGGACAACATGCTATTAAATCTCCGATATTCTGAATTCACATGCATATTTTCAGTACAAATGTCCTGTTTGCTGTTCCTGGTGTTATAAGGTGTTACGAATCAACATAGTAACATAGGTATGATTAAACTAACCTGTAATTCAAGTGTTCAGCACCATCGGCTTAGTCTCGGATTGTATCATAGATTATATAAACAAACGTTGGCATTCCATTATTTCACAACACCGTGACAGAACGATATTTATGACCTACAATACTTATGCAAACATGACAGATTTACACCACCGAAAAACCGATATCTCTTTGTATTATCTCATATAATACTGTTCTGGTTGTCGAGATTACAATACCAACAGGGCTTCGTACTCAAAGTCAAAGTCAAAGTCAAAGATTTTATTAATATAAAATCCAAAATCTGGATTGTCATCAACACACAGACAAAGAACAAACATTAATCATTACAATCAATTATATAACAATACAGAACATAAAAAAAGGGTATATATATATATATATATATATAATGAGAATTTTTATTTTTCCTTTCTATCTATTTAACTGAGGAGGTACAGTTTTAGATACTAGTAATACAATTTATATAATATAAACATAAAATAACTTAAGTTAGTGAACGTCTGAACTTGTACATCTCATTAATACCTTTAATGCAACATTTACTGACATCATAATCATTACTTCGATTGATTATTGAAAGATGGTAAAATATCTGAAATATTCTTAAAAAATTTATACCTCAAATCATTGAGTTTGATACATTTTATGGTAAAGTGTAATTCATCTTCAACTTCAAATTTACAAAGGGGGCATAATCTGTTTTCTAAATCAATCGTTTTATGTCTGCCTTTTTCAATCATAAGGATACTATTACTTATCCTTAATCTTACAAAGTTTGAAATATCAGCTCTGTCTATATCTAATTTTAAAAAGTTCTCCATATCAAATTTCTTCTTCAAATCCTTGTAGGGTCTTAATTTGTTTCCTCTTTTATCATTAACACTTTTTGAAATGGAATTCTCCCAAATTTTGATGAAATCATTTTTTCAGTTTTTTATTTATAGCAAAAGTTAAACGATTTTTACTAAGTGAATTTTGATTTTCCCAGACATGTTTATCCCATTATATGTCTATGCTGCTGTTTTCCTGGTATGGAAGTTGTCCGCAGAATGAAGTCCTTTTTCTGGGTAGTGCATGTAATGTCGAGGGGTTAAATCCTTAGTATTTTTGGTACATTTTTATAACGGCCGAATGAATATAAACCTCAACTCTTTAATCATCTGTATACATACGTTTGATTTTAAAGTCATCTATATAGAGATGACTCTTAAATCATCTGTAAACATGAGTTTGATTTTCGAGTCATCTATCAAGATGATGATGGTGATGGATGACTGCTTAACGTCCAGCGACAAATTAATAAGCATATTCAGGACGAGAACATGTTAATGTACTATGAATATTTACCCTGCTTTGTACTAGATCGACACGCTGAGACGAATTTTTAACGTGCTAGTTCACAAGGTAACAGTCCGCACACATTACTTTGACTCCGAGCCGACCAGTCTTTGCTCTTATTCTTTAATGCCGCGTGCTTAGCGGAGAAGCAGCAAATACCAATTTTAAAGTCTTTGGTTTGACCCGGCGGGGTTCGAACCCCAGACCTCCCGCGCTCGAGGCAAACATGCTACCACGAGACCACCGAGGCGGTTAATTTATCAAGAGACAAACGTACACCCACTTAAACATCTGTCGTAGCATAGACCCATTCCTCAAAGGAGGAACAGAAGCGTTGTTACAAAAACATTTGAATTAGTACATGTATGTATGTATTCTTTTATCAACCACTTCTCTTGAAAATGCTTACCATGATACTGAGATACGAGTTTCAACGGTGCAGCGTTAAAAAAGTTTGCAATCTATAGATATAATACTTAAGCATTTTCAAGCAAGACCATGTTTTCAATGAGACGAAATATCACCAATCTTCTGAAGAAATATTGTTAAGTCATCAACAACTCCCTCGCCTCTAAAAATCTTGCATATACAAACATTTGACATTCAAAAATGCTTGAATCTTGATAATAATCGTCTCAAACAATTTGTAAGTATAGCTTCTGACTTGTGCTCTTACTATCGTTGAGGAACTCCGAGGCGTTATAAAATACATATGTATTGTGACAAGGCTTATGTTAAATGCTATTTCTACTGAAAAAAAAACACTTTGGAAGTCTTGGATGAGCTACGTTCTTTTAAATGTCGGTTCGTCTGCGTTGACAGTTATGATTTCTCTACTGTGTATATAATCTTAACAAAAAGAATTTTCCTATTTACCAAAATTTTTTTTCGATATAGATCTGCATTCAGCTATATCTGTTGCATTTGTAACGATTCCCTTTTTTCTGTGATAAAACTGGAAAACTTACACAAATTGGACATGCAAAGATTTGAGTAAAGCAATTCATGTTTTGCCTGATAATATGCATGTTCGTTTTGGAACTACAGTATGCTGCCAAGTGGTTGGTATTTATATTGGGAATAACTGTACCCCTCTAATCGCAGACTTATTCCTTTATTGTTAACGCAACAAGACATCGCTTCGTTCTCATTGTAATCTTGATACCCCGGTTTATGATGAACCGGGACGATTTATCCTTTCCTATGAACTCTTTTTCTTCCATTGGCTCCTGAGTATACGTTTTCCGGTTGGTTCGACGCCCACGTCTTGGATTTCAATGAAAGTTATATTTTTATTACTATAAAGAATTACAGCAGAGATTTAGAAATACTTAAAATGTATTTCAACTATAGAGATTACTAAGGGAAGACTGATTCCAGCTATAGTGATTTTTGATGGAAGAATGCTCCCAATTATAGAGATTTCTGGTGGAACAAATAATTCCTAACTACAGGATTTTGTTGGAGGGTGGTTTTCCCGTTCAATCTTTTTCGGTGGTGCTATTTGTGTGATCATTAAACGACTTTGAGATTTGTCCTTCGGACCTTCCTCTTTGACTTAGTAGACTTGATGATGGGGTTGCAATTGTTTTAGTTGCTGTCCAATCACTGCTGTGATTATCCACTAATTGACAGTTCGTGTGGTGTTGTTATTGTAATATCAGGTTGATTGAGTAATTTAAAGTTAACACTGAAGAAAACGAGTTTTCGAAAAATGCTTTCATTTACATTTTATTCTGGATTCCCTTCTCTATAAGTAGTTTTTACTTATATCGGGCCATATATATACGTCGTTGCCACGTTCATCAAGGAACGTTAAGATATATGCAATTTTTCGATAAAAGAGTGCCATCATTCCCGAGTGATCAAAGTTGGATCCGCCAGATCTAAATAATATTTCTTTAATTCTATGCGCCGTTACATTGCTTGAATATCTACACTACAAAATCCTAGCGTATATGATAAAGGGGACACATGAACGGTAAACGTCAAATATATACACGTGTCTTTTATCGCTCTTATTTAGAAACCTGATAAAAATAAACTATCAAAAGGGCAATTTGTCACAAGAATATATATAGCGAGATTCCTAAGTGAGATCGTATTATTGATGCGTATATAAGTAGTATTTCTAATAACTGCTATGCCGTGTTACAGATTTTGTGAGTTTAGCCAATACTGCAGGAAACATGACGGGTGCCACTAGTGAAGCAGTATCTGCTTTCCCTTCCGGAACACCTGAGATCCCACTCAGATTTTGGTGGAGTTTGTGTTGCTAAGTCTGTAGTTTTTAAAGTAGTATTTTGTGTACTTTATTGTTTATTTTTTTCGTCGTCTTTCGTTTTTTGCCATGGCGTTGTCATTGTTTCTTCGACTTGTGAGTTTTGGATGTCCCCTTGGTAGCTTTCGGCTCTTTTTATGTCTGTCCAAAAATACTCTATACTTTCACTTCAAATGAAGGAACCCAAACAATTGCCAAAAAGGTCGTACTGTGTAACTCTCTCTTCACTGTGTTGTTGAGACATCACAAGCGGATAAAGATCATTCTTTACTTATACATTGTATTACAAACATCTTTACATGGTAAAAATAAGTGGGGTTTTTTTTATGACAAAATACAAATAACAACATATTAACGAGAGACTGTTTTTTCCCCATCTTTTGAATTCGAGTATTCAACTATCAAATAAAAATACAGTTTATTTAATGCAATCGTTGAATTACATACAGAATACTGCATCTTTTCGTTTGTAACAAAACATTATATAATAACATTATATATATATATAATTTAGCAAATAAACAAAATATTTGATGAACACTAAACTTATGATTATTAAGATAAGTAATATAAGTATGGCATATGGCTTATGCATGCAACAAAATAATAATCATGATCTACAAACAGTCCAAAATATCCAAACATACGATGAACAAGCACCATTTATAATAAAACAGCTCTTCTTTGGAAATTTCCTGTCAGACCTTTGCCTTCCAAGTTAATTGTTATATCCTGAACACTCATAGGCTACTAATGGTTGGTCAGTCTTGATCGTCTTCAGATAAACATTGTTGTTGCCGTCTTAATTCCATTTTCTTTACTATTGGTAAACCGAACAACAATAGTAGCGCCGACAATAAATTACCAACTCCCATAATGTAGAACGATCCTGTGTACGATCCAGTACTGTCTCGCATGAAACCTTAAATATAATAAAAAAAGATAAGTATATAATTCAAATCTTAAATATTATTCCTTAAACAAATATGATAAAGACTGAAAGTTATTATTAAACTATATTTGCTTAGGCTTTCATAATCCGATACGGTCGAATGAAAAATCCGTTACAGATGAGATTATATCCACGGATGGTACCTTTGGATCTTAAAAACTTTTCGTTTGAAGGAAATTTCTCCTCTTTGGTTTTGTATTCCTCTTTTTATGATCGTAGATGTCCAAATTTTGAAAATTGTAAAATTGAAATATGAGGTTCTTCTTTCGCTTTGGAAACAAAGCCATGTTCTAATTGCAATAGAAGATGGCCTGCACGTGATTGAAGTCACAATTGAAATTGCAACGTCCGTTGTATTTTGAACAACGCCGGAGAACAAAATGGACATTTTTGTTGGTATTGCTCACTAGGAAATTAAATAAAACCATTCTAAAAGTAAGTTTACATGTATCTGTTCATTCTTTATCTTAAAACGGTTGATTTTCTATACATGTTTTGGCTTCATAAAACCAAAATGGCTGAGTTTCGAATGTGTATTATAGGCCCGCTTCGAAGTAAAAAAGTTCTAAATTTTCCTATTAGAATCGAAATAATTCTATCATGCCATGCTCTATGCTTATTTTAAAATGGGTAGGCATTATATTTGTCAACCTTTTACACCTCGCTAACGCTCGGTATAAAGATATTGACAAATATAATGCCTAACGTTACCCATGTTAAAATGAGCATAGAGCATTGCATGAAAGAATTATTTCTTAAACAGACCGAAATGGTCACGTTATGTTGCGAGGCTGATATCTTAAAAGGATTGAACTTGTACTCCCGGAGCACCTGATTTTACCCTTTTTTTTTTTTTAGGGTTCATGTTGCTCAGTCTTTAGTTATTTACGAAGTGTTTGGTAGACCGATGCTTTTTCTTGCCATGATTTTGTCGGTCTTCGACTTTTTTTATTCTTCCTTCAGTATCTTCCTCCTATATTTTTAAAAATCGAGAATATAAATGTACTTAATTTATTACTTCTTATCTCTATACTAATATGAATCCCTTGTTCAATGTATTGTTAAAAACTGATATCAATGTACTGTTTCATTTGATTGCTACATGCCGATTTCAATGTATCTTTGCCGGTCGGTTAATTGTGGTTGCAAAGTATTAATTTCTATTGCCATGACAACAAATGAACAGCATTTTTTAAAGTTACGCTTGAGTTACCCAATGATCTATTCAATATCTTTGCAGAAATAGATATGGCATGCCGTTCTCGTCAAAATCATGTTTCTATTATAGCTCTGGGATTTTTGTGACTGATTTCTTAAATACAAAACAGAGTATTAGTTATAAAAAAAACATAGACGTAAAGTTAACGTTTGAAGATTTCTGATAAAGGCTGAAACTATCTGCAAAATGGGCCTAAATGAAGGAAAATTAAGGAGCAGTGACTTAGACGGGATGCAGTACAATATGGTAGATGAGACATAACAACTTTTTAAGTATTATTAGAAACATCTTACCTAAAATCGGCGCCATTGCTGATATTGAGATACCATGAATCTGGATTGCAAAAGCCAAAGCAGGTGATAAATTCTTTGGACCTACAGCATCAACCAGTAAAAGTGCTACCACGGAATTATACAGTCCACCAAATAATCCATATATGACACAATAAGCTATAAATGTATGGAAGTCTCGAATAAAAGAATTACACATAGATGTTATTCCCATTATAATAAGTGATGCTGATATAATAGAACTTAGTTTTACGCGTTTCGAGTCCGCAATTAAAGCTACTCCAAACCTTCCAAAAAAGTCGCACGTGCCAATGATGGTCACTAAGTATGAAATGTTTCTGCCTGAAATTCCACAGTCTCGTGCATATGGTGGAATATATGCCATTTGCAGTCTAGCACTAAAAACTGCGAGGAAACCTAAAAGATACACTAGCTTCAAATGATGATTTCGTAAAATCTTGAAATTTATAACACTCAAAATGTACTTAGAAAAACATGTTTCTGTTTCATCATCTGCTGTTTCTCTTTTAGTAATTTCCACATTTTTTGCAAGAAAAACACTTTGCACAGAGGAAGACACATCCGCTAAACTCCCAAAAATATTCGATAAATTCGTAAACTTGGATGCATCAGCTGAATTTGGAATTCCAGTTTGACGAGGAACAGTTGTTACACGATATTCATGCAAGTTTTCTGAAAACGTCCTCATCCTGTAATGATTATTCGGTTGCGGAATATTAATCAACAGCTTTTCGTTTTCTTTTTGTGCTTTTTCTGATTTGTAAAGTTTGCTTCTTATATCGTCAGCAGATAAAGACAGGTCTTCTTGATTCAGGTTAATTTTAATGTGGTTTCCATTTTTTGTCTCATCCTCCTCTTCTACCTTTACTTCCAAATTCAATTTTTCTTGTGGAACATTGTTTGTCATTGGTCTTAATAATGCACCAGAAACAACAATATTTAAAAGCATCCCAGAAATAACAATTTGAGCACCTTGTAGTCCATACGTCTCTAAAAGAGCCTGTATAATCAATGGAAGCAAAAGCCCTCCAAGACTACCTCCAGAGTTTGCTAAACTGTTGGCTAGACCTCTTCTTTTGTCAAAATATGAATTTAGTACTACTACAGAAGGCCCGGATGCTGCAGCTTGGCCAATGCCTGTACATAAAACGTATTAAAGTAAAATGGTAGAATATACTATAGTTGCATAATGTTTTCTGAAAGGGTGGATAGTGTTTAAAATACTAGTCTGAATGTCAATAAAGCTAAAAAAATTAATAAAACACAAGTCCTGATATTACTTTACATCAAACTGTTTTAGTGCTGTATGCTTTAATCAAAACATTTACTTTACAAAGGCTTTTTGTAATAGGAAAACTGTAGATAACATAATTCAAATTGAGCAAAATTTACATCTACAATAAATTTGTGTTGTCATAATGAAACTTAGTTCGACTGGTATTTACTGTGACGCATACTAGCTAGTTCTATATCATAACAAAATCAGTTCAGTTGATAATTTCAAAGGCAATATTTAAAAGTGTTTGTGCAAAAACGGTTATAAGTCGATGCGCACGAGACATGTTTCTGTTAGGATTATTGGTGTACTTTTTTTCTGTTTGTTTGTATGCATCCGTGTATGTTTTGTATTTATTGATATGCATATATTATTTGTTCAAACAACAAAAACTATCTCAAGTATAAATATTATTACTTACATAGTGTGCTAGTGACCTAATACGATATATATGGGGACAGTAAATTCCACATGGGGTGAGAGCGAAGCTGGAATCCTTATATGGAATTTACTGACCCCATATATATCGTATTAGGTCACTAGCACACTATGTAACGAATTTATCTTACCGACTATCTTAACATGTGGTATTTAGAATAGTTAGCTTTATATGTGTATTATGAGTTTATTTCAATCGTTCATCATCGATTTCTTCATCTGTTGAAACCTTTAAGATTTTTCCTCAACACCGTGTTGTTTTTATAAAGAGACGTACGTGACACCACTAACCATGTATTGAAATAAGCCTCGCCTACTAACCCAATATGGAATATACACGGTTTCCACGTGGTTGCTTTTAACCAATCATATTCCTAAAAATGTATAGTATGTATAAGACTTTATACTAGAAAAAAAATCCCCAATAAAAATCGTACCGAAGAAAGGGAAAATCTAAACCTATTAATCTCGATCATGCTTAAATTGTATAGATGTAAGAAGACCATTCTTTGTTATAGAGAAGTTCAAGTACGTTATCTTATAAGATGTATACTGCTCCCCACGTACAGTCAGGATTCTACTTCGTCATTATCTCCCCATTACGCCACCTAATTTTATAATCGTAAAAATGGAAGCCATTGTAGTGATGACGCGCTGTCAATTTAGCTCTTGAAAACCGATATATTTATCCACATAGCATCTTTACGATCCTTATATGCCCGTTGTATTTTTAAAGACAAATGTATCTACTAGCTATTGCGCATCATTTAATGTAATTTTATGCATTTGGTCAACTTAAAACTATTGTCTGATCGGTTGTCAGGGGGAATTTTCGAAAGTTCAAAAATATTTTTTAAAAATTCGAATTAAATATTTCGTGGAAGGGCAGACTAAAAATTTGCAAAGGTTGAAGACTAATTACCCTATATAACACACACAAAAAATGAAGTTTTTTGGAAGTTATGCATTTTTAAGATCCACTTGAAAAGTCTGTCGTCAAGTATTTTTAGTAACAAATTGTTTTGTTATTCGAACACACCTACTCTGTTGGACTCATTAGAAAGGTATTTCACTTGACCCATATATTTCATTTTCTAGTACTGTAAATTTTTAATGTTATTAATTTATATCAACCTAAAGCTTGAATATATAAAAATAATAGAGTCTGAGGCGAGATGATGTATCAAATATTTTTCTTTTATACGTTTTCAAGACAGAATAGTCAACTCAAACACGCCTGAACATAAAAAGATGTTCTCGACTTTCTGTTTTTAATGAAATTATTGCCAATTTTTGGGATTTTTTCCAAAAAAACTGTCGCCGGTGGCAGAGATGCAAATTAATGCTTTAAAAAGATAAATCTATTATCTTTCTTTGGAATTTTTTTCGGCGGAATTTATGCTTATGCACAAAAAAGATCCACATGTATTTGCACCTACTACAATCGACTGTTTTGTGAAAATTGGTCCATAATTTAAAAAATTTCAAATATCTCGAAGCTCCATACCATAATTTAAGTAAAAACACATACATAAGACGCATAAAATCCTAAATTAGGCACATTCATTAAACTTTTAAAGCCCATAGAAACAGATGTAAACAATTCAAATTTACTAACTTGGCCTTTTTAACCTTCTCTAACAAAGGGTTTCATTTCTTTTGTTTAATTTCAACTGGGTTTCCGCCTGATGTAGATTCTATCGTTAAAACCAATAAAAACTTACCAAATAATACTCCTTGCGACAGGAATAAAAATTGTACATTTGGTGCATATGCATTTAGGAAATATCCCGCTGCCATAAGAACAGATCCAAGTATTATGATAGGTCGGAAAGTAAAGAATCTATTTCCAAAGGTCAGTATCAAAAATGCTGAAATGAAAAAAATATATATATATACATTTTTAAACCCCAAGCTGACATGCTTTAAAATTGGTAAAATAGTTGGTTTAATATTCTACGCAATTACTTGTTGATTGTTTTATTCACAGCTTAGAACATTATTTTTTTTAATGAAGTTTCAACTTATTTTAGATTTATAAAGGTAAAACACTAAATAAATGATTGCTACTACAAGATAAACTATTTTCAGTGTCCAGCCAATCAAAATACAGATAATACTGGAGCTGACATGTCAGTAACTGCTAGTAGTCTGTTGTTATTTATGTATTATTGTCATTTTGTTTATTTTCTTTTGTTTCCTATTCTGACATCGGACTCGGACTTCTCTTATACTGAGTTTTACTGTACGTACTGTTGTGCGTTTGTTTTTTTTCTACATTGGCTAGAGGTATAGGGGGAGGGTTGAGATATCAAAAAACATGTTTAACCCCGTCGCATATTTGCGCCTGTCCCAAGTCTCTGGCCTCTGGCCTTTGTAAGTCTTGTATCATTTTTAATTTTAGTTTCCTGTGTATAATTTGGGGTTGAGTATGACGTCCATTATCACTGAACTAGTATACATATTTGTTTAGGGGCCAGCTGAAGGAGGTCTTCGGGTGCGGGAGTTTCTCGCTGCATTGAAGACCCATTGGTGGCCTTCGGCTGTTGTCTGCTCTATGGTCGGGTTGTTGTCTCTTTGACACATTCCCCATTTCCATTCTCAATTTTATTCTATAACAAACGCACCCGTCAAGTTTCGGGGTACAACGTGATTCAAATATTATTTAGTTTTTTAACCAGGGTTTGATAAAAGAAAGCGTTTGAAAATATAACATATTTAACGCATCCCTGGCTTTCAAATGTTTAGGTTTGAAACTCCTTTCCAAACTGAACTCTTAAGTACTTATCTAGACTTACTATAATTCCCTTTCTTTTATTTCTTTCTTACTAATTTATATGTTTACTGAAAACTACCAGTATACTTATTGCAGGTGTCAGTATAATGGGAATCTCTTAGTTAAAGCAGCACAATTGTTAAAGGGGTAAAATCGGGAAAAAAAAGAAAATTAGGGAGGAACATGTAGCAAGTCTATACTGTACCCACAAGGACGTTATTCAATATAAATCGCACTGTCTTGTCAGAGTTCGGTGTTTAAATTCTAAAGTGACCGGCGTCTGTACATTATAATAAAAAAAATATACTAGTGTCACGTTATTTGCTGTTTGATGTGTCTACGCTTCTACTTATGTACTAAAAATATAGATTTGTTTATAAACTATCGATGTAAACGATACCTGTACAAAATAGTTATTCTATTAACAGCATAAGCCGGTGTAGACGTGTTCATTTTTTTTGGGACCGTGTATCAATTTACTCTTCAAGGGTTAAATACACTATGTTAAATGAAAGTAAAATCATTTAAACATTCCAGGAATGGTTATTGCAACTACTACATCAAAACATTGAAAGGACATTGCTTAGAAATTTTCCGTTCTAATTCATACTTACAAGACAAGCTAAACATTATTTGTTGTGTTGATATTATAACAGATACCGTAGATGCATTACTTTCGAAGGCTTCGATATATTCTACGAAAAACATCCCAAATGCTTTGTTTATGCCTATCACCATGAATGATCTTAGAAAACATGCTGAAATAACAGGAAATGAAAGAACCCATCAAAATCAAATAAAGTAAGACAAATAATAAAGATAAAAGTTTTGAGGTAGTTTAGTTTCGAATTATATAGCTAGTTATATATCTTAGTTTGTTTAGATATGTAGTGTTTGGTTCGAGGTTGAATGTCTATCATATCAATAAAATGTGAAGAAAAAGAAAAAAAAGATTAGTTGAAGAACACCCAGCAATAAAAGCTATCTTAAATAAATTGTTTACTAAGTATCTATTGATATTTAATTGGATTTTTGTCTCTTATGCATCCATACTACGTCCCTTTTCACTATTTTTTTAAAATAATGTATTTCCTCTTATTCGACTGTAAATATGTGTGATGAAGAGCAATAAAGAAATTCAACAGAACGTTCAAATAATCGTTATGGTTATACAGATTAAGTGGAAGAATTGACAGTCGCATAATTAGTTTAACAGAGTAAATAAGTTATAATAAAATTGATGGAAAATTTCGAAAGTTTTACGAACATATGTGTACTTTTCCGAATGTAGGCGAGATTTTCGCTAACCATGAAACCACCACTCTTTATTATTATTAAACTTGAGGGTTTTGTTTGTTCAATTCTAATCATTAATTTTTCTTGTCACTTAAAGTTGCTATACTTGTCCGCTTTCTTTTTTCGCACTAATATTAATAAAAATGTTAAAAATAAAACATCATGGCAAGCAAACAAATCAGAACAACAAAACGGAATGAACTATAGGTAATCTCTTATGGATATTGATAAATACAGGTATATATTTATATATATAATGTATGTTGACTTATAGTATTTGCATGTGTCCTTGATCCTTGAACATAATATATATGTAGAAATTGAAAGGAGAAATATGGAACGCCGTAAGATTGTCTTAGATGACATTGTTAATATATTGATAATGATGAAATTAACCCAGAAAGATAAATAAAAATCTGAATTTCATCGAAGACGTAAAATACCATGGTATTATTTGTCTCTGATTTTCTTACACGTAATCGATTTCAGTTTCGAATCTGTCATTGCAAAGTAAGTTAACTTTACCTGCTAGTACAATCCAAGCCCAACCTCTATCCACTGATCCTTTCATTCTCTTTTTCAGTTTTTCTGCAGACTTTATTTCCCACGTCAAGTTACATAAGTTCGTCCTACATTTTCACATGACCAGTGAATGTGCAAAGTATTTTTCCATGATAAGTAATGAATTTTTGTGGTGTTATATAGAATATTTGTCTCTAACGCGATGTTTTAACCGGTATCAGTTGTATTTCGTCTGTTGATAACGATAAAATGACATTGGAATGTTCAAATTGACAATAAATACTCATACTGATGAAAATGTATGTAGTGATTACATGAATACTTAAATGTATTTCATCAGAAAATGACGATCGATTTTTGCTGAAATAGCAACAAGATAGCAATAATCATCTGATTGGTCCTTGCATATATATAATAATTTTTTCAATCATCAATCGAGTGACCATTACTTTTTGTTCATAAACTTGATATAAATATACATAAACAATGATACTTATTTGAAAATAATGGAATCAATAAGACAATATATAATGTTGTGCTTCCAAACTTTCTCCACATTATTTTCTACTATATTAAACACGTCGCACATTATTGTTGGTTTCTGACATGAATCATACTTCACGCAAAACGAAATGGAAATCTACAGTCATTTTTTACAGAATAAGAAAGCAGTCTTCTCGAGTTTTTCCTTGACAATTATATAAAAACAAATAGTTAAACAGGCTATCGTATGTATTTCAATGGGTTTGAATGTGTCCCTTTTCTTACAAATGTGTTATTTATTCTCATGAGTTTAGTAACAGATATGAAATGGATAAAAAAAAAAATACAAGAAAGAGAAGCTTAATTGGTCTTTATATCTAACATACAGATATAACCAAAACTCTCTTCATAAACAATCCATAATTAACTGACTTGATTCCAATGATTGGTGATTGAATGTATGGTTTTATTGTCTCTCCTGCGACGAATGTCGCATAATACAAGACATAGGCGGAGGCGTCCTAAATTATTTTTAAACAGCTTCATATTTCATAAGGTAGAAAAGCTAAATGTTTGTTTGCTTTTGGATTGAAATAATTGAATGTGAATAGAATAAGATAATGATGATGTTAAAACACATGTCAGTTGAAAGCAATAATGGATAGTTGTGAATAGAAAAGTGTATATACAGCTACTATTTGAATATACATTTAAGGCTCGACAATTTTATTTATTACTTGGGAGTGTACATCATTTTTTCGTGACCCTTTTGCAAATCCCAGTTTTTTACAAACCCGATGTCTAATGCAAATTGCACAAACCAATCGCAATATAGATTTAAGCACATAATTTGCTTTATAATCTGGATGCATTTGTTTTATCTATCATATCTTCATATTTTGTTTCATGGATGCCTCCAATTATTCTCAATTCAAATTTCCATGTAAAGTGAAACCCTGTTGCATGCAACTTATAAGAAGGTTTCGTATATATTTCTTGAGAGTAAGACACCAGCTTCATTGGGACCTCTTATATAGTAACATATTTTGGTAAATAAAAAACTCAAATTTTAAGGATTTCCCGATGTTACTTAAATCAATCAAAATATTCTACAGGGAAACTTTGTTTTGAAGAATATCTTATTTTCAGAAGTTACATGTATATGAATACCTGAACATACCCTAAAAAGAACCAATGTATATAAAAAGATATGTAGATATAAAAAGATATCATGCCATGATTAAAATGTTGTACGCCGGACGCGAGTGAAGTCTACAAAGAATCATCAGTGACTCTCGAATAAACAAGTTAAAAAGGCCAAATAAAGTAGTAAATAGAAAGCATATGCACTGATATTCTGGATAAGGATACGCATTTGCGTCATCACATATATTAATTTAATAGTTGATTTCAGATGTCAAAATACCTACCTAAACTGTTTTGACTTCGGATTCGTGACATTAAATCCGGAATTTTTGTTAACGCAAACCGACAGTGCAAGTGTGAACAGGGTGATATACAATTTGAACGATAGCAGGTCAACACAATGAATACAATTTTCATATGGTACAAATATTTAGATACTATAAGGTTGAACTATTAAAACAAATGCACAAAAAAAAAGAATTGAATTTTATAATTAACATACATTCCTGTAAGTGATTTTTTCCCTAAGATTTAGAATATAATATCAATAAACACAAACGTCAAGTATTTACGGATTGACATTTTATTTATCAAATCAATCGCTTTTTAAAGTCTAACATTTCACTATATGAGTATATTGCTATACAAAATATAAGCAGAGACTTAGAAATAATTAACATTGATTATGATAGTAATTAAATTTTGTTATGATTATTGTGAACTATTAATTACGTTTTTTGTTTGATGCAAGGATTTAAAATCCTTGTGAATTGAAACCATGGAAGTATTTTTTTCATTCACGACCGTTTAAAATTTTGATATTCAGCTTACCCTGCTCATTGGTGCTCATACGTTGCATGCAATTTTCATAATGTAATTACTGTTCAAACCTGTGAGACATAATGCACGTTTACATGACAATTTATATATATTCTATTAAGAATAAATTCCGTCTCAGGTTAATAATGAATATTCTCTTGGTCTGGTAGTATATATTAATGAAATTAGATATTTTAGACAGAACAATCCTTTTGTTTGATTATCTTTCTGCTTTCCGACCTAAGATAAATATTTTTAGCAGAAATATCGTGTTCTTAATTTTTTTCATGCTTTCCGACTTTTCCCATGCTATGCATGAAATACAAAATATCAAATGATAAACGTTCAGAAATAATCAGTTTCTTCTGGGACATTATATATATATCAATTAACTACTCCCAGGTTTATTGTCACAGTGCACAACAGCACCCTGTATTCAATACTTCATACACAACGTGTACATGGACCGTCTCAAAGCATGAATTATATAATTGCGTTATCATTATACTTGATATTTAATATACCTGCCAACCCTCCCGTTTTGAGCGGGACTCCCGCTCAAATGACGAAATTCCGGAAAACTCCCGCTTGCCGGCCCCCTCCCGCGCGGGAGTATCGAATCTCCCGCTTTTGGATATTTTACCTTGAATTGACCAGTCAACATTAATAACGTTTTTGTGTCACTGATGAGGGTATTTTTAACCTGTAAATCACAGTCCATGTGAAAATTAAATGGCTTCACATGACAGCTTGGGTGTAAAACATAATACTAAATAACGATCATTAACGACTTTTACCTCAAGCATTGTATATTTGAAAACACTTCAAAGAAATTTCGGGTGACTTCCCCTGTTTAATCCGGTAATTTGAAATAGATAATTATCAATTGCAATTACATAATTTGGTCCGTCCAAAGCGATTTTTATTTACCTATTCAGGAATCAATGTCCTTATCAAAATATTTCAAATCTCACAACGTATAAATACTTCAGCTATTTGAACAAAGATGTTTAAAAAGTTAACTGAAACCATCTAAGGTCAACTTATTGGAATGGAATCGAATAATTACGAACACATTTTTTTTTTTAATCTTTGTGTTTAAACCTGGCAACATGCTGTCTATTTTATTTCAATCAGTGTGCGGATTCAACCCCGAGGCTTTCAAAAACTCACGTGAAGACCCAAAGATTTGCGCCGATTACCCGGTATTTCAATAATGGAATCACCTGTGTTATAAATACATAAGCTTATCATATTATAAAGAATTCCTTTCTAGCTAACTTTTTACGAGATCAATTGAAAAGGTTTCAATTTAGCTTATTCAATTAACTTTTTCTCATTTTTTTGTTTTCTTATGATTGGAACGTGATTGTTTTTATAAGAAGAAAAAAAAAAGTTTTATATAAGGCCCTTTAAATATCATAGCTAAAATGTCTAGTTCAGAAAAAAAAGAGAGTGAAAGTTCTGATAGTGTTTCAAGCTCTCCAAGTGAGGCAGATTTTGACGAGTGTGGTCAATTTGGGTACATACTAGAACCAGAGTACACTGAAGAGGAACTCCAACAAATGGAAGCTGCAGAAAATTCTAGACAGCAGGATATTATAAACAGCCCTCACCAGTTTGACAGCAATTGGTGACCATGTACAAAATGTATAGTCCATGCCATTGCCGGCGGAATGTCTCTGTTGTCACGAGTTTACGCTGTTTATTGACAAAATAAAATTGGGTGAATGTGTCACTGAAAATACAGATTTTAGAATAGTTTGTCTAAACCCCGTTGTTCTTGAAACAAGCTACATTAGTTTCCTGAGGTACAAGCGTTATCGAGGACGAGCCCCAGAGTTACTTACTAACAGGCAAATCAGACTAATGGCGTATCGTCAGTTTGTTTGTTGGGTCAGGAAAGGTCAACCACTTGGCAAGAAACACAGAATTATCCTACCGGCTTGTGTAGTTTACATACTTAGAAAAGAGTTTCCGTCACCGGATGGGGTATACGAAGGATTCAAAGAATGTATTAGTGACGTGTCAGACTCTGAATAGTTCTAAAATGGACATTTAAACGATTAACCAATACCAAATTTTTTACAAAATGTTTCAGTTCAATTATATTATTTTTGTATTAATAAAAATATTTATGACATCTTTCACTTTGATATCTAGCGTAGATTGCTTGTTGTATATAACATGAAGGTTTGGTATACCAAAGTACAAAGGAGCTTGCAAATTTATGTCCCATTTGCCTCACTCACTTTTAAGCACATGAGACCAGAAATTTAGCTTGTCACTCGAAAAAATGCAGGGTGTTTCGAAATAAAACACGGAAATTGAAATGGTACACGATTGTTTTTATGTTCCTAGTCAATTGCTTAACCGAACTGTTGTCTTTGCCATGGTTAATAACACTTGTACAAAATTGTGTCATGTCGCTTTGAATTATAAAACAGAAAAGTTTGGCGTTGTTTCTAATTTGCAATACACACATATTTCACTAGAAAATGAAGCGGTAAGTGAAAAGGGTAAGGAGAGTAGGTCGAACTTTCATCACCTGGAATGCACAGAAAATGTGTCGTTGTCTCTTGAAATGCACTACACAGACTGTTAAATTACACAGAAAAGTGATATATATATATATAAATATATATGACTTTGGGGATGTGAGGCGTATTGTCAAAGAGACATCAAGATTTTTCCGATGCTGCGGATCATGATGAATTATTGGTTTTGAACCTTCCAGTGGCAAATATTCCATGCATCTATATATATGAACGAGAAAATATTAATGTGATATGCAGGTTAGTCTTATTCCGAAGCACCTTAGATCATCCCCAGTTTTTGATGAGGTTCGTGTTGAGCAGCCTAAACCATTTTTCTATGAT